GAGTGGCTATAAACTACAAAAGAATACCTGCGCCAGCACCAAATCAAAAAACGGAGACTGAAAAATTGAATTGCTCTTGCGCTTTCGGCAAATTTGGACCACGATAAAGAAATAGAGGAGCATAGACGGGATAGAAAATGCTAGAACAAAATATTGGCCGATAGGTAGTGTTGATTGCATTTATGCAACGCAATATATTTAAGTGTCTTCTTGGACCAGCTGTATTTTTGACAGTGACGGTTAGAAAAGATGTTTCAATGATTCTCTGAAGGCCCGGAAAACATAAATATCCCTTCGCCTCAACGATCATACTTATCGCCCCAACTAAATTCGTTGCTTTTTGGTCCTCTGCGCCTCCGTGCAGTATAGTCTAAAGTGGAGGCGCTGTTTGGATATGTAGCGTCAAGTTTTGGAAAATTATGGGGGTTTTAGAGGGCAGGATTTTGACAATTACAGTACCCGAAGGCATCGCGATCACTCTCTCGCCCTATCTCTCTCACTCTCTTTCATTCGCATTTTTTTCTCTCTCGATCTCTCTCGCTCTCTCTCTCTCTCTCTCTTTATATCTCCCTCTCTCGCTCTCTCTCTCTCCCCCCCTCCATCCCACACGGAGTTGACCAAGAAAACACTGAACTTATTTGCTCGACAGCCATAATTATCGGACGATTCCGGTGCTGGCGTTGAAGCGATTGCCAATTTCAGAGATTCAGGAATCCAATACACCAAAGAACGGCCAATTTCTGGGTACAGTGTTTTTTTTTAAAGTTCTTGAAAATTAAACGAGGCCCATAAATCCTGATGCTGTATATTCGTCTTGAACTATTCTTGACCAGCGGGGATAGAGCCGCTTCGCGACTCTCCCCCGCTGGACCCCGTCTAGGCCCTATAAATCGAGCGCCCTTCCACATAAAGTTACCTTGAAGAAAGGAAAACCCATCTTACATGCAAACCTCTTTGTATTGACATGCGGCGCAAGCTTGAAATGCTAGTCTCGTTATTAGGCCTGCGGCGCATGTTTGATCGGCAGGCCGTTACCCCATCCTGCGGCCCAAGCTTGAGGGATTAGCCTCCTTTTTTTGGCCTGTGGCGCCAGCTTGAGCGGCTTGCTTCCAGATTAAGCCTGCGGCGCAATTTGAACGGTTACCTCCTTCTTTAAGCCTGCGGCGCTGGCTTCAATGGTTGGCTTTCTCCCTTAGCCTGCGGCGCTAGCTTGTGCGGCTAGCTTCGTACTGAAGCCTGCGGCGCTAGCTTGTGCGGCTAGCTTCGTTCTGAAGCCTGCGGCGCTAGCTTGTGCGGCTAACTTCGTTCTGAAGCCTGCGGCGCTAGCTTGTGCGGCTAGCTTCGTTCTGAAGCCTGCGGCGCTAGCTTGTGCGGCTAGCTTCGTACTGAAGCCTGCGGCGCTAGCTTGTGCGGCTAGCTTCGTACTGAAGCCTGCGGCGCTAGCTTGTGCGGCTAGCTTCGTTCTGAAGCCTGCGGCGCTAGCTTGTGCGGCTAACTTCGTTCTGAAGCCTGCGGCGCTAGCTTGTGCGGCTAGCTTCGTTCTGAAGCCTGCGGCGCTAGCTTGTGCGGCTAACTTCGTTCTGAAGCCTGCGGCGCTAGCTTGTGCGGCTAACTTCGTTCTGAAGCCTGCGGCGCTAGCTTGTGCGGCTAACTTCGTTCTGAAGCCTGCGGCGCTAGCTTGCGCGGCTAGCTTCGTTCTGAAGCCTGCGGCGCTAGCTTGTGCGGCTAGCTTCGTTCTGAAGCCTGCGGCGCTAGCTTGAGGGATTAGCCTGAATCTTTAGCCTGCGGCGCTAGTTTTAGTGGCTAGCTGGATTCGTTAGTCTGCGACGCAGTTTAGAGCGAATGACCTCAGAATAGCGCCTCCCTACAGGAAAATACACTTCGAAACATGCATTCCGAGCAAAAAGCAAAAAAAATACGATAGCCGGGGATCGAACCCCCGATAGCAAGATTGGCAGGCTGACACTCTAACCGCTATACCATGAAATGCTTGAGAGCGCGCGCGCAACACCCCTTGTATGCCCCGAGGTGACTGCCGGGAAAGGGGGAGCAAAGGCAATCGGAGGCAGCTCCAATGAGGCAGCCAAACGCGCGAGTGCAACTGGCAAGAATGAGGAAATTTGTATTTTCTCACATTATGCAAATTAGCCTTCCCGGAGCCCCAAAAATGAATAAAACCGGCCTTAACTTTGTAAACTTGTATTTTATCGAAATTCTGAAAACGCCATCGGAAACAGAAGGGTCGATTCCCCCGGGTGACGGAGAATTAGGGCATTTTGGACACGGGAAGGCCCTCAAATCGGGCCTCGAGAGTGACATCCACACACACACACACATACGCGACCAAATTATATAAGGTGGGATAAAATTTTTGTTTTATAAAATGCTTCAGTGTAATTTTGATCATAATGTCGTATTCCTGCGCGCCGATGGTGGCATTGGTTTTGACATCTCCGTGACGGTCATCGTTTGTGTCTGAAAAATGAAGGATCAATTTGAACGGGGAGACAATAACTTAATTTTCTATAGAAGAACTCGAGACATGCCTCGGGGGCGACCACTTTGGGTAGTAATAAGCGTCGAATATTTGCATTAGTACCGAGGAGACAATAGGGTGGGATGGCGCATGGGAAATCCATGTAGTAAAACCTGAAAAACATATCATAAAAATTATTATGGTTGATTATATAGCTCTTTGTCTCTCTATTTCTCCCTCGTTCTCACTCTCTCGCACTCTCGCTTTCTTCTTTCAAAGCAAGTAACCTACAATGTTTCCGAAGTCGTCTGCAGCGCGGCAGGATTATTCAGAAGTGTGGTGCAGACAAATTGTGCTACCGTCCGAGCTAATTCCAAAAACATTGGCAGCGCTTGGAATATTGAACAAAACAACAGTCTCCGTTCCAGTTTTGATACTTTGGCACTCTAAAATCAGACATTACGACAGAACGATTAAAATGCACTTACAGCCGAGCTTAATTTTAATGATATCGAAAAGCAGATTCCACAAATCATGATCGATGTACATCCGAAACTGATGGCTTCGATCGTGTTAATCTAAATAGGTCAAAATGGACTGATGTCCGCTCTATTAAATGAGTAGGCTGCTTGCACAGCTCTAAAAAATACTGGCTGCTGGCCAGCGTCAACAAATTAAGCGAGACTGAGCGGTGTACCTGAATTGCAGCCTGGTTGGGGCTCATCAACAAAAGTGACGTCTTGTTAACCATATCGGCTTGGCCGGCGGTTAGAAAAAATGGTATGTTCACGCTGAGGGGTAATATCCATTCGATGAGGAAACATAGGAATACGGTGCCACGGTTCCAAATCTAGAAATAGGGAAGGCTGGACTATCTAAGTAAGTTGCATGAGTAGAATAAAACCAATCGAAGGCAGAGATACCCTCATTGCTATTAATTTCCAAAAATGCTGGCACTTAATATGCTATAATATTTGTAATTCTGAAACAGAATATTGCTTTTAATCGGTTTAAGCCACTCTTATTTGACCGCTTTTGTTACTGCATAATGTTCTATTTTTGTCACGGCAAGCTTTTTTGCTAATTGATTCCATTACCTACCCTCCGATAAGCTACCGGCCACGCAAAAAGTATCAATCGATTGACGGCAAATGGTATGTGACCCAAAAATAATACTGTACGTGTTGTCAACAACAAGAAATAGGCAATCCTGGATTTTCCCATTTGATACCGTAATCGTTTGCCCTACGTTCCACCACCCGTCCCGTAAAACGGCAAGATCCAATATCGCGGAAAGCGGAGCCCGAATTGGATATAGAGGTAGTAGATGAGGTCATTAATAAACTATGAAAACCGATAATGGCAATGAACTCCCAAAAATACCTGCGCCAGCACCAAATCAAAAAACGGGGACTGGAAAATCTTGTTACTCGATCGTTTTCGGAATATTTGAAGTACGATGAAGCAGTAGAGGAGCATAGACGGCATGGAAAAGGCTAGCATAAACCATTGGCCGATGGGGAGTTTCCATTCCATTAAAAACCTGGATACTTTGGTATGGTGTTTCGGACCGATGCCTAGGCGTTGGCTTCGGCTTGGGCTCGGTTTAGGCTTCGGCTGAGGTTTAAGCTCAGGATTTGACTTAGGCTTAGGCTTGGTTTAGGCTTAGGCTTAAACTTAAGCTTAGGCAGCACTGCTCGAATTTCTGAATGTAAATCGTTAATAGCCGTTCTTCGACCAGACCCCGAGTTGCTCTTTATAGAATTACCGAAAGTAACGGACCTAAGTGAACCCCGCAAAACTCGATTGAACCAGAGAATTTTCTGTTGTCTGATCGCAAGCGCCGCGATTATGGCTCGAAAATATGAAGTTGATGGTAGGGAGAAAATAGCTTAAGCAGAAGCCAACAATCACTTGCAGGTGGCGTGCGCGAAAAAACCAAGTGAAATTACGGATTCTGCAGAATTTACAGATTAATAATCCCAGTTCCCCGGATTTATCCAAACTTTGCTATTACGCTTTTTCCTGAAAAAACTCGCAACCAACAACTTTTAGAGGGCGTGACGTTTCAAGTATTAGCAAGTGTTCCCACCCTAATCAGCGCACATATTTCCGGGCCGATATGCGGAGGTATAAAGCTGCAATTTGCAGTTGCGATTTTGGGAGACCAGGAACTAGATGACGTGCTCTTTCTCTCACTCTCGCTATCCAACTCGCTCTCACTCCCTCTCTCTCCCTCTCCCTCTCTCTCTCTCTCTCTCTCTCTCTCTCTCTCTCTCTCTCTCGCTCTCACTCCCTCTCTCCCCCTCTCTCCCTCTCTTTCTCTTTCTCTCTCTCTCTATCTCTCTCTCGCTCTCTCTCTCTCTACCCGAAGGTCATGAAAACGGAAAGGTCAAAAATAGATTGCCCAAGTTTATGCAAATCCTTTATCAATTGATACATAAAACATAAAAAATAGCCATACATTAAAGCTGTTACATTTGACGAATGATGCCGTAAACCCGTAAAAGATGACAAAAAGTCATTCAGTATATTTCCAGGCATCCCTCTCCATGCCCTCCTCACAGTGCTTCAGGAGAACGAGTCGACGTTTATCCACATAGCTCGATTTGTCAAGGACCTAAAAAATATTCATTCTTTTTTTCAAAGTATCTGAACTGTTAAAGTATCAAAATGTCTTAATTTTTAAGTTCTCATACCTTGTGCTTCAATTCAGTGACGTCCTGGCCTCCCCACTGGGCCTCCAAAAGTTCAGACAAGGCTTCCGTGGCCATTTCCAGGTCCTAAAAACAAAAAAATCTTCTCGAATTTCTCAAAAAGTTATAGAAAAGTTGTTAATATCGAACATCAGCGGACCAACCGTCTGGTTATCCTCAAAAATCCGTGTTTCGTTGTCGGGCTTCAAATAATAGGCAAATGGGTAGGTGTACATGAGAGTGCGGCGGGCTTCTGTTAGCGCCTCGATGCCCTAAAGCATTAGCAAATTGTTAACAATATTTAAGGTATCTTGAAAATCATAGATAGCTTGGATTTAGCTTCTAGAATGCTTAAACAATCTATTAAAAAATTCGCTCTTCTGCTTACCTTTAGAAAAAATCGCACTTCGATCCAAGACGCTCCGCCCTTTTGCATATCGTCCATTTTTTCGCGTACGACTTTGTTGAGACGCTCCTCAAGCCGAAGCGATTGTTGATGGTTAAGGTATCGATCGTAATAATGTAGATATCGTTCCAGGGCCCGTTTGGCCATTTCTCGGATGTTGTTCGCTTCGATCACTGTAGCGTCTTCGAATCTAAGGTACGGTTTTTAAGCACTCTCCTAGACGTTGAGTAGATAAAATTTAAAGCAAACAAGTGAGGATTTTGTTTTTGTTTTTGCATATTCTATTCGTTCTGAATTTGTCGCCCCGCGCGGAATAGGGTTGTGTCTGTCGCGTTCTTTTTCGGATCGCGACACGCAACGCGCTACGCTATGGACTTGCGAGCTGCGTCCCGGAATTCCAGTCAAAAACCCGAAAAGCCGAGTGCGTGTCGCGGTCAGGAGAAAAATCATAGTTCTGCCTTGTCTGTCCCTTAAAACGAACACAACCAACGTACTTGTTACAAGAATAGCTCGCCATATGCTGCTTCCAATCTCCCATGCACACCCAGCAGAATTCGTATTTGCACGCGGCACTCCGGCAAGTCATATGGTTACATCCGCCATTCTTCTCGATGGCTGTGTGGCATTTGGGGCAGTCTCTGGTGTGCACCCTCTTCCAGGTGTTCGTCTCGCTGTCGCTGCTCGAACGTTTCAGCCAGTTTCGGAGGACGCGACAGTCCACCGGACGGTGCCAGCTCTCGCCACAGCAGAAGCACCACAAGTGGTTGCAGCTGCACAGGATTTGGCGGGGTCCAGCAGCGGCCACCTGGAAGAGTTCAAAGATCGTTTAGATTTTGTTGAACTGCATGAGCTTGACGAAAAATTTTACGCTTTTTCGCTAGTTCATTGATTCCCCGAACGACCTATGCTAGCCTACAGAGTTCTTAGAAGCGATTGACTTAGTAGATGAACTGCTTCAAGTTGGGGGAAAGGCGGTCGGGCTGTTGATTGATTTCCTACAAACCCATCAAATTGATATGACCTAAGTCCTAAGATCAAACTGCGAGATGAACTGGTTGAACTTCGGGTAGTTAATTTAACTGTTGTTGTTTTCAATTCCCAAGAAAATCCCAGCTGAACTGTTTGAACTTGAGGAAACTTGATCACCGTCTAGTTAATTGATTCCCCAATAAGAACTTCTAGTTTGTCATCGCTTACCTTGATCACCTTGCCACATCCTGGAGCGGGGCACCATTTGATGCGCCGATTCGCCTCAACGAAGACGTTCAGCGTTAATTTTTTGAACTTCTAGGAAATGATGTTTATCGTTTTAAAAAAGAAGAACACTTGCCTGAGTCGCTGGGCCTGACCCAAGGTATTTTAGAGCTTGTTCTTCCTCAATTAACACCTTACACCCCGTGCCGATGCACTGAATTTGCGAGCATGAGCCGGAGCTGATCTAAAAGTACATAAAATCGTAAAATAAGGTTTCGTGTCTTTTCCTGAAAAAAATTACCAAAAGCAAACCTTTGTCTCCAAATATTGCCTCCAGCAATTCGAGCAGGCCACATGGTCGCATCCAGCCCCCGAAAGTGCTGATACCTTAAAAATAAAAATTCATTGGAGAATTTAAAATTTTCACAAGCTATCAAAAGATTGAAAATTACTTCTAGGCAAATATTGCATTCTCCATGTTGCGCCGAATTTTTGGAGTCAGACTCCGAGCTCGTTTGGGCGACGTTGTACTTCTCGAAAAACGCCTGCTCATCTCCACAGCCAAAAAAATCTAAAAATTCATTAGAAGTATACTTGCTATAATCTTACGCTTCCATCAGTTTCTCCTTGTTCCACAGGAATTGGGTTAACAAAATTCGAGCGGTGCCAACATTTACTGGGATCACTGCTTGGACCTGAAAACGAGGATTAAATTTAGGTTTAAGTTACATAAATCACCATTAAATCTGAATATTCAACCTCATAAAACCTTTGTAACGTTAATATACCTCGCTTATAATCCCAGTCATCTCCTCATGAAGCTCATCCACTTCGAGTACTTTTCGATCCAACTCCCCGGGTTTCGGCCCGTAGGCGCGTTGTGTAAATTCGTCCATGCCGTCATTTATCGCATCATCCTCATTAGCGTCCATCTCTTCCTCAAAAATAATAAGTTTATGAAATACGTTTTGCATTTTTTAATACCTCTCCAGAAGAGGTGGCTTCGGAACCGTCATCTTCGCTGTAAGCATCGTGATCCATCTCATCGTCGAAGGACATTGTTCTAAATCGATAATTTGTCAGGGGTTTATATCAGGTTGGAATGAAAGTAATGGCACAAAATCTTTAAATTGCTGTAAAAATCCGCAGGAACGTCCGATTCGAAAGTTTGTTATATGGTTTGGTAGATCTTTGGATGCTCTATCACGATACCACCCTCAAAACGCACAAAAACTGACGGGCGCGAAGATACAGGCCTCAGAAGTTTCGCAGAAAATTAGGTGAAAGCTTCCAAGCGAGATATCTCTGCATACAGGCATTTGCATACGATACTTTTAACATTATTCGATAGCCCTCGCGGAGTAGATATCGATTCGCGCTTCAGCTCCCGAACCAAAATCCAGAAAATGCATTGATTTTGGAAGGGCCATATCTCGGCCATCCAGTGTCCGATTTTGATGATCTCAACATCTATCGATATCTACTCCTCGAGGGCTATCGATTGGTGTTAAAAGTATCGTATGCAAATGCCTGTATGCAGAGATATCTCGCTTGGAAGCTTTCACCGAATTTTCTGCGAAACTTCTGAGGCCTTTATTTTCGCGTACATTAGTTTTTGGGTGTTTTGAAGGTCGTCTCGTGATAGAGCATCCGAAATCTACCAAACCATATATCAAACTTCCAAATCGGACGTTCCTGCGGGATTTTACAGCGGTTTAAAGATTTTGTGCCATTACTTTCTTTCCAACCTGATAGAAGGAAGATAAGTGGTTCTAGTTTCACAACACCATAAATTGTATGGGCCATGCGCAAAATTAAAATTGATATATAAACATTGAAACTAGGAATCTGCAAGGAAAAATAGTCACAAAAACTATTGTTCTCGGTCTGCTGAGCCAGTGCCGTTTCGCATGAATTTTTCTATAAGCCGAGGAGAAAGAAAAGGAGAATCTAAAGAAAAATCGTCAGAAAGGAAGCAAGAACAAAAAGAAACACCCTTTGGATTCGTGGAGAAACTCGTATAAATCAAGAATGAAAAAGCTGAAGACAACGAACAACGGCGAAAACGGAAAATGAGGCTAGGATGCCCCTTGCATTCTATTTGAAATCAACTCTTCTAATCGATTACGTGGCCATCTGCCAGAAAATTTGCGCATCAATAGTGCCATTTCTGGGCGATAGCAGAGAACCGGTGATCCACAATCCATTGATGCACCAATAAACTCTTAAAAATCATGGGAAGTTGCAGATTTTCGGCTTTATGGGAAGAGACCTTTAGCATTTGTACAAACCGGGAAGCTAATAACCCGAGAATGAATTAAATCCGTGTTAAGCCTTAGCGCGGAAGAAAAATATGACCATACTGACCGTCGGGTATAGACCGGGGGAGGGGTCAAATTTATGCCTGTCGTAATAAAAAACACCCCTCGTAATCAGAGCCGTATCGATCCGGACTTCTTGACTCACTCCCTTCCCGGCGCGCCGTTCTGATGGCATAATAGAGAAAACTGAAAGGACAAAAGAAAAACAACAACTATGTGATCAAAAATAACGTTTGAGAGCGACTCAAACTTTATAGTTTGACCATAAAAAAGGTGATCTTTGCTACGCTATTTTCTATCGGTGCATTTAATTGATTTCAGCTGCCTTTTTCAGTTTACCGACATTATTTATCCTTGAAACATAAAATCAGAGGGTTCGTTATTTTTTTGTAATCGCGTGCTTGTATTTTATGCCAAGTGCTTTATTTTCCAAAATCCTGCTAGATTCTTATCTATTTAAATCTAGCTTTTTAGATTTTGCGAGCTCTTTTTGGCCCAATCCCAAACATTCCCACACTCGCCACTGAATCAGCATTATTTTTGCCCAAATTCGGTCAATCAATGGCAGCATACGGTATTTGGCAAAACTCGTAGGGGAAGCCGGCGTACCACCCAATTAGCGGAGGATTATATTTGGACGCCTATAAAGCGCCCAGCCACCAAGCTATCGGTTCTGAAACTCTGAAAAATTGTTTGTTTCGAAAAATTCAAAAAGATGTATTCCGAGCAGCAGCCGAATCGCCTGGCGCATAGCTGTGTAAATGAGACCTATGGGCTTTATCTTGTATTTTTAGGAAATCTCGACTGGCGCATTTCAGCATCATTATTGGAAGGTAATTCTTTAAAAATATTGGATACTCCGGAATTTTTTCTGAATTTCATAGTTTTTCGTTTTCTAGCTCTTCTAAGATCTTTCCAAATTTCCGTAGTTCCATATTTTTTAGCTCATCGGAAAATGGGCTCTGATCGTGTGGGGCGTCCTCCTTACCGTTGGCTTCGGCTTTAACATCTACGTGATGGTTACTGTCATCACGTATTAAACTATTTAATACAATTCATTTGATAAATTCAGTGGTCAAACCCAGCTAAACCAACAGCAAATAATTATGACTGCCATCGCCCTCGCGCATTCTCTGATCGTGCAGCTGATCGGCATCACAGCCTGTGCGCTGGGAGTTCAGGGGATTATTCACAAGAACAAGGTCTACGTCAAGTACTGCTTCTTCGCCCTGGTAGGTAATCAATCTCTCTCTCTCTCTCTCTCTCTCTCTCTCGCTCTCTCTCTCTCTCTCCCTCTCTATCTCCATCGCACTCTCTCCCTTACCAGGCGCCTTTAGCTGGACTGGTAATCAGTCGAACAAGTTACGCGATGAAATTAGAAACTGTTTTTCAGATCGCGATGATGGCGGTCGTCATTCTTGGACACGCTGCACTAGCCATCTACACTCAGAATTACCAACTCCTCATCGGATTATGTAAATTTTGAAGCTTCAAAAGACATTCGGTTTTAAGGGATCTGCCTCTGGATCGGCCTCCTCATGCTCATCATCCGCAAAAATCTGGAAGCTCTGGAGTACTGCGAGATGTGCTACTAAAAAGCTGCCTTATTTTTGTGTGCCGATAAAATGTATTGAATTTGCTTGGGAATGAAGATAAAAAGATTCCAAGGAGGAAAAAATAATCCGATGCAAGCTTTAATTTTAGGTTTTTGAACTTTTCTTAAAAGTCCAGGTTAAAAGTTCGTTAAGTACATTCCGCGTTCGTTAAAAAACCCCAGCCCGGCGGCAAGAATTCGGCTGTCCGGCGGCCGCGGCTCCGACCCTTCATAGCCCTTCGCCCCCTCCCACTCCCGTCTCTCCAAATAAAGCGCTTGCCCCAGGCGTGCGTCCCGGGTTCGGTTTTGCCCGACTTTTAGCACCTACCATAATCCTGCATTCTAAAACACAATTTGTCCAAGATCTTAGACCATTCAAACGAGGCGAACTGTACCTTTAAAAGTTGATTTTTGTTGCTTTAAGGTCGTTTAGTCATTTTTTAACTTTTAAAATTAACGTTTTTATCGTGTTTTGTTGATCTGAAACGTCGGGATGTTATCTTGGGATCTTCCCCCACCATGACCTTCAACCCGTTCCATCACCTTACCCGGCCTGTTCCCAGAAAAAGCGCGCGTCACCCCGCTGAAAAATTTGGTCGCGTGCGTCCGCGCTACGGTTAAGTGTTCCTCTTATAAAGTGGATATCACCAGATTGGCACGTCCAGATTGACACTTCATTTGATCGTCCCGCTTCGTCTATAGTTTTGTAATGGCGCCGACGAGAGATCCGAATGGTGTATGCCAGGGTTGTGTAGGTGTTTTAGAGTATTTTTAATATTACCATTAAATTTTAGGGCAATCCATACAGCGCCAGGACGCATAAGACATGGAAAGTAAGGCTTAGTTTCTGAATTTCTTGGAAGTAGAGGTACAATTAAAAATTAAATTATACTACGAATCATGTTATTTTATAGAAAAATTTAGCTTACTCCATTTTCTTAACAACGTATTTCGGGACCGCTTTCCGAAAAAAATATTTGATTTCGGCTTACTGTCGACAATTTTTCGATAAGATTATTTTTTACCTTTTCAATCTGTTTAGTACTTTTCGAACCAATGCCAAGTTTTAGGGTTTTGGCAAATGGTTGATGATCATCTGGGGCGTCTTGCTCCTTATCGGCTTCATCATCAATATTTTTGCAGTGTCCGGAACGATCAGGTTTACAAGTTTTTGGTTGTAACAATTATTATGATCGGACCATCACGTAAAATCTTAAAATGCTTTTAGCACCATGAACGCTGCCGAGTCACAACCAGACCAGATCAAGCATCAATATGTTATCTGGTTGTTCGAGGCCTCGTACGCGATGATACTCGGCGCTATGGGGCTTGTTGGATGTTTCCTTGGGATTCAGGGGATCCGACTCAAGGAAAAGTCGAACCTTAAATGGGCCTTCATAGTGCTAGTCAGTTTGCTGAGATCAAAACCGTTTAAATTTTCGGTTCTGTTCCATTTCGCGTGGGGGAAAAAAACTGTGCGGGGGGAAATTTTATTCGTTTTTTTTATAACTCTTTTATATGATGCTATTTTGAATTGTAATTAAAACTCTTAGTATATTTTTTGACGCTCGATCGAATGGCATTAAAGAAATTTTTGAAAGGGATCGAAAATGTCGAAAACTAGCTTTCGACTCCACGATCCCATGTGGAAACACCGAATAAACCTTGTTTTTGCTATAACTATTCTATAAAACAATATTTTTAGATGAAATTAAAACTCTTAGTATATTTTTTGATGCTTTATCGAATGACGGGTTTAAAATATCGAAAAACTGGCGAAAATGCCGAAAAATAGCAATAAAAACTCTTAGTATATTTTTTGATGCTCTATCGAATGGAGTTGCAAAAATCCCGAAAAAAATCGCGAAAAGATGGAAGGTTCCGCGAAGCATATTTTCCCCCCGCACAATTTTTTCCCCCACGCGAAATAGAACAGAACCAAATTTTCTTTTAGTCAATAATGTTCGTCTTTGCGGCGGCTGGCTGCCTGGCTATCGTTTTCATTCTTGGAGATACTCACTTCTTGTTCCGATTAGGTATTAAATAACCATAATAACCTATGGATTCCAAATTTTTTAGCGATGTGCGCATGGCTTGCGCTCATCTTGCTGATCGTGTGGAAAAACAAAAAGGCGCTCGAACGATGTGATAAATGTTACTAAATATGGCTCGTACACATTTTTTATGTAATTTTTATTGTTTATAAATGGTTTTCGAGGTGCGAAAAGGTGCATTATATACCTTAGTATTTTTTGTACCTTTTGTATAAATTTTGTTGGAATAAAGGGCTTTGATTGGCTGGCTTAGTTAGCGCCTAACCAACCAGCAGTGTTTTTGGGTGACATTGGATAGCCTGGATCACCAACTAAGATGGATAGATAAGAAACCAAATCTGAAAAATAGAGAGCTTCAAATCTGAAATTTCTCTCTCTCGCTTTCTCTCTCTCTCTCTCTCTCCCTCCCTCTCACTCTCTCTCTCTTTCTATCTCCCTCTCTCTACCTTTTTATACTAGACTTAATTTTACATGTAAACAACAATGCCATAAACACAAACACAAAATAGTGCCAAAAAGTCGTGACCCCTGGGCACCCCATTATTTTCGGATTGCGCCCGATGACCCGGTTGGGCAAGCAAATTTACGAGTAAACAGGACTGGGGTATACCGGCTTTTTGACCCATCGATTTCCCACCAGGCTGCATTACGCTGTAGAATCTGCATTTGGTTCCCTTGATTTGTTCCATAAGCTGTTTTCACCAGATGACGTACCTCGAAATGACAGCGGCAACCCGGCCGGCAGAGCATCGTTGCGTAATTTTGGATACTGTATTAATGGCCGGTTTTAGAAACTATCAACCCGGGAGGTCAACTTTAAGCCATGGAAGGTAATTTTGGAGCTATAGTTGGCTCTAGAATTTTTTTTAGTACACCGCGCAGCTCCTACTCACGGTTTGGCCGGTTTTCCTGGGCTTCGGAATCGTGTTGAATTTGCTGGCGTTGATTGGGGTGTTAAAGTAAGCATAAAAAGGCCACTTTGAGTTTTATTAGTTGCAACTTTAGCCCACTCGATTGATATAAAGCCAACCTATGATTTTTTAGAGAACCAGCCCTCGGAGGAAGGCATGAAAATGTGGTCTTGTCGGAAATCATTTTCAACGTTATTCGAGGAATTTTCGGATTTGCCGTCGCATTAATGGGAGCTCATGGGATCTTTTCAAAGTCTTTAAGAAGTTTAGAATACTGCTATTTTGGAACGGTAAGTTGTGAATTAACAGAAAGACTTGTCTATTTAGTTTTGCCTGTTAGTTTTTACGTTCATTGGTCAGCTCGCGTTGGTCTGCCTACTGGCGCAGTATTATTTTTTGGCAATGATAGGTCGGTAACCGTTGAAAGCTTAAAAAGCTACAAACGTTCTTTTAGCATTTTTTGCTCTCTGGCTATCCTTTGTGATGTGGGTGCTAAAGAAGAATATTATGGCTTTAGAGATTTGTCAAGAATGTTATTGAATAAATTGAATCGAAAAATTTTTTGGCCACTTGTTTCCGGTCCTTTTCGTTTTCCGAAAACCCCCAAAAATTCACGGTGGGGGCTAATTTTTCCAATGTTTTCTTCTAATGCAAAACATCGAGAGAGAGAGAGAGAGAGAGAGAGAGAGAGAACAGAGAGAGCGAGAGGGAGAGAGAGAGAGAGAGAGAGAGAGAGAGAGAGAGAGAGAGAGAGAGAGAGAGAGAGAGAGAGAGAGAGAGAGAGAGAGAGAGAGAGGGGTAGCGCACCTCAGGCCCCCAGACGGTTTTTGACTCATCGCCTGAGCCTGGGAGCCAAAAATCGCGTCCAAAGGATAGGATTATGCACGTTCTAAAGACGGCCGTATATTGATTGTCTGTAGACGGGCCCTACAGCTGTACCGACCACAAAACCGCGCCTTGTCTGCTCCTGAATCCAATATCTCTTGCCTGTCAACCTATTACACCAAATTCATTCTGGCGGCCTAAGCATCATTTAATTAAACCGATTTGACTGATGGAAGTTGTGAAAAGTTGGCTGGATCACAACGAATGCAGTAGCGTAAGTAACGTTTAAATCAAGAGAGCATCTTTCGTTTAGAAGCTCTGTACGCAGCTTACCTTCTGGAGTCGGGTAGGTCCTGCAGATACTTTAGGAGCCGATAGCCGATTTAGGTGCTTCTTAATCTGTCGCTCAGCACCGCAATTTCCTGCTCGTTTGTATTGATCATGGTGGTGGCTTATGAGTGGGTTTCGGTACAGAAATTCTGGCCTTTAAGATACGACGCTACTGAAAAATCTGGTATATTACAAATTGGAAATTTAGACGTGTGAATCGCCGTCTTACGCTTGGTGGGGATCCGCTTAACCTTTCACAGCGATTCCCGAATCTGTTCTTTTGGAGCATGATAGTTTTCTCCGCGTGCGGAATCGGGATTTTTATTGTCCGCTTTGATGAGCCGCGCTTTTTCATGATCTCGACGATGCTGCCTGTGAGTCTAGAATCGGCAGCGTATTAAATTTAGAACCACCTAAATTATCATAAAATTCAAGAACTTCTTCCAGTAAGCAAAATTTAATTTGGTGATCATGCAGATTCGAGAAATCCAGATCCTTTTTTTCCAGATTCCGCTAGGCAATTTCCGTAATGATCATTCTTCATCCTCTAATTTTAGGCCCTTGTGACTACGATCGAATGCCTGATCCTCATCATGCGCCTAGGCAACATTCGCGGATACCATTTGCAAGATCAGGACGAGGACAACTATTACAGTAAGCTACTTGCCGAGAAACAAGCAACTTTATACACAACCTCTTCCAAAATGCCATTTTCAGGTTTGCAATGGATTATGCGACTTACGATGTTCTACGTGTTTGCGACGATAAAGCTGTAAAAACTGTCGAGACGCCTCCAACCTTGTGTACTGAATAAACGACCATAACTCATATACCATCTTAGACCCCAGAAAATTCAAATACCATGTCCGGGGCTTGAGCTTTTCGCGCCATTTTCGAATGCCTCGATGCCATGTCGCGAAAGTGCAAAGCAGTTTTTGGGCGTTTTCTGAGCTCTTTTTGGGGCCCTGGGAACGATGTTGCTGGGCCCATTTGGGTAGTCAGACCCTCGCGCGCCGCACCACTTTTCCCCTCCTGGTTCGCCCAAATACCATTATTGATTTCTTGGAAGGTCTGATACATCAACTTCACTCGGTTTGAAAATATGTGATCTTTGGTATCAATGATATTAACCTCATGGACTCACTCGAATTTCATCCTGGTCTGCTTGCCTGGCCCACCGAAGACGTTTTTATTTTGGTCCGGCTGAATTACGCTCTTTTCTCTGTTTTTTTTCGGGACGCTTTCTCTACGGTGCTCGGTGTATTTTTCGTACTTAAGAGATCGGCTTTACAGTGACACCACAAAAACTTGACTTGAAAGTTACAAATGGGCCTCTGCCGCTACCGCACCGCCGCACTGCAGCTGAAATGCGTAAGTGGAGAGAACTTAAATATCTTCTAATTGTTAGCTGCCTCGCCAAATTCAATAACCACGTTTCAGAACCTACATGCCGGCAGCTACTACAACTACTGGTTCATGGTGGGTATCAAAAAAGGTTTATAAAAGGGGCGTAACAGACGAAAATTTGAGAATTAGGTTGGGTTGAGTTGGGTTGGTTGGGTTGGGTTGGGTTGTTGGTTTGAGTTAGCATTGTTTTATGGAGTGTAGATTAAAAAATTCAAGATCAAGGTGCATTAATCGTAATACCAGAGAAAGTGCGAAAAATGCTTCTAAGGCTGTTTTTAGCGCATCCTCAACCTCTTCCTTGGGTCCCTGCTCTTCACCTCCGCATTGGTCACCCTAGCTGCTTGCCTGGTGTAAGTTTGGAGTCCTTCTGCGTATTTTGCTAATTTTTTAGCATTCTGAAAGAGCACTTCTGGCCCTACAAACGCACGCACTCGGACTCTAGCCCGTACATCATGAAGATGATCGCATTTGTCGGACTTTTTGGGTGCTTCTCGACCGGGATGAGCCTGTTTGCTATCAACATCCGCGAGGCGCAAATTCTGATCTTTGTCTGCGGATTTGCGGTTAGTTGTTGGTAAATTAAAGCGATTTTTCGATTTAAAACATGTGGAAAACCGATTGAATAAAAATCCGCGAATAGGAGACCGTAAAAAAACTATGATTAGAACATTTAACTACTCCATTTAGGGAATGATGGCCTGCGCCGAAAGCTTGGTGCTCATTATGCGCGAGTCAAACTTCAGCGGCTGGAACGACCTTGAGGAGGGGGAAGGCAACTTTCGCCGTAAGTTAACGATGTGTTTTTAGGGCTAGTTATTACATGGAAGAATTATGAAACCCCAAAATTAACTTGATTAGCAGGCGCCAATGTGCTTCTCCGCCTCTTCGTCATCATGGTGGTGATGATCAACTACCTGATCGTCAAGTCTTGCCCGTATTGTGGAAGTTATTGATTGGCAGATTATCTAGCTTTCCACTCAACTCCTCTCATTCTCTCTCTCTATCTCTCTCTATCTCTCTCTCTCTCGCTCTTGCTCACTGCCTTTCTCTCTCTCTCTCTCTCTCTCTCTCTCTCTCTCTCTTCCTGCTTGTTGCTTGTTCAGCTTGCAAATCAAGTTCATAAAGGCATGTTTTTAATTTTCTAGAAACTTTTTTTATCTTTTTCATTGGTTTTCTAAGTTTTTCATTTTACAAGTTTCACTTTTTATGCCGAATAAACGTTTTAAGAGAAACTAAAATCACACTCGAATTTTGGAGACCGCTTTGTTATGTCCCCGGCCATCTTAATTACATATACCAAGCGGCGGGCGAATCATGCTCCCCAAATGTTTTGCCGGAAACAGTTTCTGGTGGACTGCCGTCGCAAATTGCTATTTCGTGCTCGAATAGACTTTTTTGGGGGATGGAACGGCAGCCAGCGCTTGGCCACCATGAGGGCGGCATTGAAATTTTGCATAATTGTGTAAGTGCGTAGCCTGCGTAACTTTTCATTGCCCGTTTTTCCTAGGTGCTGGCCGAAACCAACTTCAGCCACCGGAAATGGAAGGTTTATGGGTTTAGAGTCTTCCAGTTGAATTGCTTTTAGAAAATTTTCATTGTTGTGGAAGTGATCGGTTTTGTGCTATGCATCATTTCACTTGGGATCTGCATTCTCGGGTTCATTGGGTAAGTCCAATACATACCTTGGTTTGAGCGCCTATGGTCTGAATTTCAAGCGTCTCAGGTCGTACGTTAAAGGGACTGATAAGCGTCATGATCCCTGTTTGAACCACGATAGGTATCGAAAGCCACCCACAAAAGAAAACTTAAATGGTCCATTTTGGCTGAAAGAACGTACAAGACTTTGTTCGCTATGGATTTTTGATGTAATGGGTAGTTGACCGTAATCGTAGACAGTAAAGTAATTGGCAACGTCAAATGCATAGCAACAAAATCTATCTATTTATCTTGCCGTTTTCATTAAGTAATTAGTCGGACTAGCTACCTACTTTGAATGCGTTTTGTAGCACCATCCGTAGATTTCGATACGTAGTCGATGAGTTTGTAGGATGGTTCTAGCTTTTCCTAGCCCCGTTAAACGCAAATTTCAGAGTTGCCGCCAGTGACATCAAAAGGAGCAAGGGCTCGGAACCGACAGCTGACGAAGTCGCGATCGCGATCCTGGTGGCGTACACCCTTTGCGCCATTGGGGAGGCCATTTGCTGCGGCATCGCCCTCCTTGGTGTCGGCACCAAATCGCCGGCCCTGCTGTGGATCTTCCTTTTCTTCAAGGTAAAAATAAAACGTAAAAGGTTGCTCAAATCGTTGTTTAAATTAGATTGACAAATCATCTTTAGATTTTCGACATTATCGGCTGGATTTACATCTTTATCGGCGCGCCAAAGTGGCACCATAAGGCGACAGCTGGTAAGAGGTTTTTCAACGAATTTTCCAGATTTTTGTTGTTTTTTTAATTGTTTTAAATTGTCTAGAAAGGGTACTGTAAGCTTTGCAAATTCTTAACTTAGTCTTCTACGCCATCTTTACGCTCCCCGAGGTCTTCCTGGCGTATACGAATGTGAAGGCGTTGAGGGCTTGTCCGAGATGCTACTAAAACAAATGGATATGACAGATTGGCGCCTGTTTTTTTTCAGCAATTTCTATTAATATTTATTCTTGATGTATTTTTTACAAAATGGAATAAAGAAATCAGCCAAATTTGCAAAAACGCACAAAATACCTAAAAAACCGCTAAAAACTCCTCAATTCCGGGAAAGGATGCTATTTTTATACACAGAGTTTTGCTTCCTGCCGGCCGGATTATTAATTGAGTATAAATCAAAGACCAGATGTTGGGGATCGGGGGAAAAGCGGACGCTATAAGAGCCCCGGAAAATCCAAAGTTGCAAATCACAGAAAATCGCTGCTATGTTGCGGGAAGGCAATGAGACTTTGCATCGCTGTGTAAGTGCTATTTTTGCGCATTTTCCTTGGTTCATTAATTCTACATAAACAGCTGATTTTTGCAGAAACTCGCGGAGCACAACTACCGGCACCGGAAATGGAAGGTGGGTTTTCCACGAATTTTAGCCACAATCTGATGAGTAACCTACTAAAAATTACATTAAAGCTCAGACTACCTAATCTAATTTGGAAAATCGTCAAATAAACGGTGTATTTTATTGGATATAAATACTAAATTGGACTGATCCGTTCGATTTACCCTGATTAAGCGAGTTTTGTTACAATTTTTAGCGATTATTCCTCCTCGTCGAAGTAATCAGCTTTCTTGGCGCAGTGAGCCTGACTGGTGATTTACTATACAGGTAAGTCAATCGATATCGAGCTTTCTAAATTTCTAATTTCCAGGTTTGGCTGGGTATATCTGGCGGAAACGTTCAGCAAACAAGACCGCCTCTTGCTCGTGATTTTCGCAGTCATGGCCATGTACGGAAACGCTATTTTCGTAGTGATGAAGCTCGTCGGGGTCTCCAAGAAGTACCCTGAGCCGCTGACCATATTTTTCGTTGTTGGGGTATGTAAAAGTTACAAATATATGCCTATATTTGAGACATTGCAAATCTCCTTTTGGACGTGGTTGCTCAGCGAGGCGAAATCGGAGTGGGGCTTCAGGACTTCCGGTAAGGAATAACGAGCTTCAAAACTGTCAAGAATATCGAAAAATATAATTAATTATTACTTTAGTTTTCAACACCCTAATATTATTCCCGGAGCTGCTGCTAACTGGTATCAATCTGAAAGCCATGCTGGAATGCCCGAGATGCTATTAAATTAATGTTCGAAATCAATAAAGATTTTTTGAACGATTGCCAATTTGCTAAACAAATAATCAAAAAACGACGATCCAGTTAATATATTCTCAACTCGAACAATTCTTAACAATTTTTTTCAATTTAGATAAAATTAATGAAAATTTAAAACATTGTTGCCTAGCAATCTCGGTATTTCTATACTTCTAATTGCCTTTAGAAATTCTAACCAAGCAAAGCAACAAGAAGTCCTAAAAGTTCAATTTCTTTCAACAGCGTACTTGATTTCCAATTATAACGTTGTTTTGAGAATGATTCGAGCGAATTTTGACTGGCCAACGCTTCAGTTTCAGTTGGTGATTGAACAAAATTTCTCGAGTTGGCAAGGACAGACAATCCGTTCTTCTAAACCCCTTGAATTTGATGGGTTCTCAACCGCCATGCGATGGACTACTCGGAACATGGGAATTACGTTGTGCATAACTGTGTAAGTTTTAGGTATTATTTTGACTAGAAAAAGCAGTATTTTTTTAAACCGCGGATTTAGGAAATTTCATGAAAACGCGCGATTTAGCTCTTTTTGAAGGTAAGTTTTGAATCAATGCACGAAAAAAATTTCCAGTTCGGCTTCATTTTCCAGACCGGAAAAAATGAGCATGTTTCCTGGTTGATCATGTATGGGATCGTTTATTCTGAAAAGCAACACGGCATTCTAGTTTTCGTTTTTAGTAGTTTTAGAGCCCAGTCGTTTGGTGCTTCTTCTTGGTGCGTTGTTTCCGTTTCGCTCATGTAGGCCAAGAACCGGGCCCAAACGGCCAATGCAGACGATTTCATTTGACCCGGCGCACTTGGAATCCATGCAAAGAAACCCCCGAGCTCTGTTCCCAACTTCTTACGGAATCCTAGCTTTTCGGCGGAAATTAGCGAGTTAGGCTGCGAATCAGGCTGGTCTCCGGGGTCGGTACACGCGGTCGGCTGCTAAAAAGTATCCACAATGTGGAGGTCACCAGGTCACTGGCTTCAAAATGGCTCAATTGGTGGAGAATTCAAATACAGGGTGCGGAGAAAGTTTTCGGTGACGCGTAATTCAATGCCCTAAGAAAGTTTCAAAAGCAGTATTCCTCCGATTCTGTCATAATCACGATAAAATATATCGGTTCAGGTTATATAGAACGCCTTTCGTTCCAAAGAATAACTTTAGAATTTCATGAAAGGGCTAAGGACATTTTCAAGCCTCGGCAAACTACATTTTTTGGAAAACCCTCTCTCTTTCGAAAAATATGATTCCGCATGGCGCCAGATTTTTGGAATAGTTTACTGGGATGTACAATTTTGCTTTTTTGAAGAAAGCGATCCGACGCGTTCTAAAAAAGTTATAGGCATGTTTCCAACATTGAAAATCCGTCAGGCGCGAAAAATTTTCTTGGAGGGCCGCGCTACGATCTCGAATATCTCAAACGGGAACGTTTTCTGAGGTCCAATTTTGCGCAATAAGATAGATCTGATAAAAACCAAACACATGAAAACTGAAGCCAAACCAGGCTTGCCGAGATTTTTATGGCGCTTTATCGGCGCCACCAAAAGCTTTTTCCGCATCCTGTAAACTATGGGAAGCACGATGATATGAAAAATATCCGCTAATCGACACTATTCATTCCATAAGTTTTTCCCTTACGTGCCAAAAAACATAGCTAAAATGTGACTTAGATTCTGAAACAGCTCTATCCGCTCTACTTACTAGTTATTTTATACGACTTTTCAGAAGATTCTGAGTCAATGCCGAAACTGTGCTCGCTGTTGGTCAAATGCAGTCTACATGAGCAAATAAGCTACCTCGGAACCTCGCACCGACGCGAGCTCGATTGCCTTTTGCTGACGTCCGCTGCCCACGCTCTTACAACACGGTAATTTCAAAATGATTGGGACAGTACCTCTAGTCGATTTCGCATTTCCTCTAAGATCGTCATTTTCTCTCCGTTTGAAAACCCCATTTTGGATAGCTTAGAACGCAATTCTTCCAATGCCTCTCCTTGTTTTTCGCCAATATCACCCTCAAATTGCGAATTACGATTATTCGAGGCGCTACCTGCTCTGGGCAGCTGCTGTATTTGTTCCATATCTTGTTCAAAAGCAATTTCATTTCGTTGATACGGACCTGGGCCAATCGGTTTTCAATGAGGTCCTAAACACGCCGTTCAAAAAACCTTGCTTAAAATTTGACCGTAACCGCAGCCCTGAGTTTTCGTTGCCGGTCTTCTGACAACTCCTCCATTCCAGCGACAACCACCGTCTCATCCCGAATTTTCAGAAGCAGCGCCAGTTCTTTGTTCTGTAGAAGTATTTTACCGAATAACAACTTATAAATCCTTTTGTTGCATGAAAGGCTGGATTCAAGCGCCCAAACTTAAGATATAACGCGATATTGAAACAATTCCCCGGGCCCCGCTATGGTCCCCTTGAATATCTTGCATGCGCTAATGGTTCCGCTCCCTGGGATGTTGCCCTTAATTCATAATCATTTATATTTATACCAGATGGTTCCAGTCGCTTCGCGACTGTAACCATCTGGCCTTCGGGCTATCCTACACCAGTGGAAAAAAGACCGCTTCGCGGCCATTTTCCACTGGGCCCCGTCCAGGAATCATGAATTTGAATACCTTCTTCTTTTAGCCTGCGGCGCAAGAACCTGAGTAATGGCGCCATTCTTTGGCCTGCGGCGCTAGAGCCAGCGTTCCGCTAGAATCTTTGAGCCTGCGGCGCTAGTTACTGGTTTTTCCTCGTGGATTTGGCCTGCGGCGCAAGAGCCCAGATCAAGGACCCATCATTGCCCTGCGGCGCGAGAGCCTGGGTAAAGGACCTTCCCTTGGGCCTGCGGCGCTAGAGCGAGAGCCAGGCCTAAACCTCACACACCGAGAGCCTAGAAATATGTTTTGTTGCTAAACTACCAAAAAGCAAAAAAGTTGTATTTGCCCAGGATTCGAACCCACGACCCTACGGGTGGTAGACCGGGCGCAAATCCACTACACCACGGGGCAGATGCCAACGACCGGTGGGAAAGGCCTCTTCTGCCCTGGAGAGGCGAGGGGGCAAAGGAAAGTGCGACCGATGATCCCAGAGGGATGCCTTCTGGTCACTTTACAAAACTAAGTTTTTGAGTCTGAATCTGCAGAAAATTTGTAAAGATAATAAGATGCGCGTGATCCCCACTATTGAATACATAAATGGTCCAAATTTCAGCCCGAAATTCCAAATGCGAATCGAGTTATGCCCCGAACACCACGGCTCGGCGCCCATTTTGTTAAGGATTTTTAGTATTTTGCTTGTAAAATTGTTAAATGGAGGAATTTCGAAAAACAAAAAAATGCGTGTCTGACAAATGTGTTTCTCCACCTCCATGCCAAAAATCAGCGCGACATTCGGCCTGACGGCCGAGAAATCGTCATTACAGAAAACAAACATACTTTTCTCGCTTATAGGATAGGATGTTCCACACCACCACATCCTTCCCCACCTCCATCAATACCCACGCTAATGGATTCAGATACCACCGCCCCCTCCCCATAGCTGAAAATCCCCTCAAAAACTACCTAAAAACCTCCCTGATGACTTTAGATAGCTCCCCTAGCCGAAATCCCCTTAAAAAACTACTTCGATACCTCCCCCTAGGCGAAATCCCCTTAAAAAACTACTTCGATACCTCCCTGATGACTTTAGATAGCTCCCCTAGCCGAAATCCCCTTAAAAAACGAAAATAACGACCGACCGGATGGAATGAGAGAAAAAAAAAAGAAATGAAATCCCCCGTGAAAATTTTCATCCACGAAACGCGCGCGACCTGGCTCACTATGTCCAAAATCACCCCAACCTCCATCCCCCACCCCTTTTACTAAGGAAAAACTTTCAAAGTTATTTTTAATAATTTAAACAAAAAGTTTTTCATAATTTTTTTATCAGTTTGGGGGTTTCTGACCATGCTCTATCCGAATCCGAAGAGATCTAAGCTCTAGCTCCTTTCCCCTTCGAGTTGAATTCGGAACATGACGGACGGACACCACAGCAAAATTATTATAGTAGATTTAATTTCTCTTATAGCCTAAACCAGGATTGAAAAGCCGCTGTGGGACTTTTCAGCCCTGGCCCCGTCTGATCCCGTTATATTTTTCACTTTCGATAAATCTCGCGAATGAAGATGGCAAAAAATCAAAAAAGCCTTCCCTGTGCCTTTATTCAATCCTGCCACGTCGGGCGCATGCTAATTGTTTCCTAGCAAAGGAGACGAACGATATTTTTTACAAAAGCTAAATTTAAACGCAAAAATAGTAGTTTTTAGACGTTGAGACGTGTGCACTCATCTCGAGACCATTACTCACCTAATGACGTATAGTGCACCCCCTAAAAATCGTTCCCTGAGCCCCTAGGCCTGGAAGAGTCTGACGGAAATTGCACGCAAATCCACACAGACATAAACACTACTTTTATGTATAGTTGGATCTACCCATTAAAGGCAGGCACCATGGGAAGCACACCAAGCATCATTGATATTTTCGGCATTAACACATACCTTTGAAATACGGCTAGCTTCGTCATCTATGAGCCGAGATAAAAGTTCCTCTTCACGGCGATCCTTTGCGAGCGCTTCGAACTCGTCGTTTCTTTCTTGTGCAAACTCCTATTTAGACATTGCTTTGCGATTTTCCTACCTTGGGATCATTCCTATTCCTACCTTATATAATTTTGGAGTGTATCTCTGTGTGTGTGGATGTCACTTTCGAGGCCCGATTTGAGGGCCTTCGGGTGTCCAAAATGCGCTGATTTTTTTGCCACTTGGGGGAATCGACCCTCCTCTCTCCGATGGCGTACTCAGAAATTCGATAAAGTACAAGTTTACAAAGTTAAAGCCGGTTTCATTCATTTTTGGGGGTAATTTGCATAATATGAAAAAATACAAATTTCCTCATTCTTGCAATTTGCCCGCGCGTGTGTGGTCGGTGGGGGAAGGGGTCCGAAGGACCCGAGCTATCGGAAAGTCAAATTTTTCATGCAAAGGCCGCGTTCCAGCGCCCAAGGCCCGCGAAGTGGGTTTTGGGCGCTGGTATTCCAATATGAATATAGGTTTTGGATTTTCATACCGATCCAGTTCTAGTATAATCTAGTAAATCTATCTAGTATCACCTACTTGGTTCGTCAGTATTTCCGGGAAAGGGGAACGGAAATTTTCCATAGTATCGAATTTTATAATATAAATAGAGGTGCAAAAGGGTAACTGTCTCTTATGCGACCGGCAAATTATCACACTGTCTCAATTCTCCGATCGCCTTAAAGGCCTCTGGAAAGATGGGATTGGTCAAAACACAAGAAGAGGTGCACCGGCCGAGGATCGCACCAGGGATGGTTCGCCCCGCAGTCCAACGCGCTACCCCCACACCAAAGGGGTCGACTGGCTGAGGGCGGCGGAGGGGCCCCAAGTACCCGAGGGCCGAACTGGTGCACATTACTGGGCAACCATTCAAAATAAAGCTATTTACAAATAATAATAACAGAAAACCTACGGAAAAGCTTGCTAAGGGCAAGGAAAGTTCGCCCTGAATTTCCTGAAGTGTTTTATACCCTTTCCGACGATTTTTGAAATAAAAAGCGCCCCAAAAAGCTCTTTCCGCTCAGAACATGGCTGCCTTCTATCCAATCAGCCTCAAATTTTTATCACCGATGGGGATGGCCAAAAACTATTTTTATGGAAGTTTCCAGCCAAAAATATAGACAATCAAAAAAGTTATGGCTATAAACCCGTTTTCTGGAAACCCAGTCGGGGGTTTTGGGGGCCCTTACGCGATGGAAAGCGTGCATGGTTTCGCCCCGTTGGTCCCTCACCCCTGGGGACGCCCGGCCATCTTTCCAAGGGTCTTTAACGCTGAGAATGACCAAAGGTGATGCTACCGTTATGATGCTTAAACCTGGGATAGATGGGATGATTGGAAGAATTCGTGGAAGAAAGGCTTATAATGTTAACGCACCTCGACCTTCTCCTGAAACTTTGATCGCGCAGTGTCGACGTCGGTTGGTTTGACCAATTTCTGAATCCCTAGTAGGCCACGATCGCAAGCTTGTCGGCACTGCATATCAAAGTTGCATTTATTGGAAGCCTATGTAACCGTGTTTCTCCTTTTCAAAAGTTGCACCTTTAGCTCCCTGCAGAATTTTTCAAATGCTCGGTTCACCGCAACAGTTATGGATAAATCCCTCTGGACCTGATCGTCTCTCTCTCTGGATAAATGCATATGCCTACTTGAACCGTAGAGTCCGGGATTTGCGGTGCATCTGTGTTCAAAAAATCTGCGATCCGCTAGGAAGAATATACAGAATGAGCGAATTGATACCATTCCCAATTTGATCAGGTCCCTTTCATGCGATGAGTCGATTTCGTCTCTGTCAAGGTGACTGAGGAGGCAGTCAAATTTGTCGAGCATTGGCCGCTCTAAATGACACGTTAATACCTAGTTCAAAAACGGATTACGCGGCTTTCAACCTGCGCTGTTTGCCGGAACCCGTAACAAACAATACACCCTGTTCTGGAACGTTAACGTAATCGACAAATCACCGGTTGATTTTTTCCACGAAATTTGGGAAAATTAAATTAAGATATAAGGCAGGTCCCCACAGACCTTGCGACAAAGCTGGAAACACAGCTGGAAACCTATAAACTACTACACACCAGCTTCGGTGAGCTCGACTTCTCCAGTGGCGGTGCCCACCCGTTCTGTGACGCAAGGAACGCAAATGCAGGAAGTTCTATTTGGAAATTTTTCTCGCAGCCCGGAAGATATCTCCCTAAGATCACTTGCGTGCTCGTAGTCACCCTGGAAATTATCACAAGGATCAGTGGCTAGCCAGGCGCTTTACCCAAACTTTGTCCAGCAAGGTCCCCTCGATGGTCGTATCGGGGGCGTCTCTCAACAAGAAAATAAGATCCTAAAACTAAAACGCGCTCACTGCCTGTGCATACCTTTGGAAATTTGGCATCCGGAAATGTTCCAGCGATATCCGTAAACAAATGCAGGTCACGGAGCAGATCGCCGCCAATCTGTCTTTGCACGTTGATGACCTGAAAATGTACAGGGTGTCCCAATAAAAGAGGTCACGCTGGCATTTTGCTATTTCAGATCCGATCGACTTGAAATTTTGCACAGAGGTGCGGAAGGGAATTTAAAATGTTCACAGAGACTTTCAGCCCGATCGGTACAGTCGTTTTAGAGTTATGCCAAAAACAAAGTTTATTTTACGTTTTTAACCCAAATTTCGCCGAAATTGAGTCTTGAAATGTATGGGGAAAATGAAGCGCCGACCCTTTTTTACCCTGGGAAATTTTTTATTTAGCAAAATTTGGTTTGGAAATAGGCTATTTAAGTAATTTTAACAAGGGCTAACCGAGACCGATGTTTAGAAGGATGAGGGATTTATGGCTGAAAATTTATGTTAATTGATGCAAAGTCCAAAAAAATAGCCGAAAAAATGAAGCGAAAGTCTGGGAAAAACAGTATTTTTGCAATAACTCGAAAACTACTGTACCGATCGGGCTGAAAGTTTCTGTGAACATTCTAAATCCATTTCGCACCTCTGTGCTAAATTTCAAGTCGATCGTGTTTGAAATAGCAAATTGCCAGCGTGACCTTTTTTATTGGGACACCCTGTATACTAATTGCTCCCACTTGATATGCCCATCGTATCTGAGCAGGGACGTAGCGTAATACCGGCCCCGGGGGACCGCCCCCCCCGAAATCGGCCGGGGCCCGAAAATTTCATAAGGGGGGACCCTTATGATTTTTATTTTCTCAAAAATTTTGCTGCCTGCGGCGCTATTCTTTCACCTTTTAACGGCTATTTGTAGAGCTATGTGCCCTTTTTTTCAAAAAACTTTGCCTGCGGCGCAGTTTTCTCCTTATTGTTGTGAGTTTTTTGGAAAATTTTTTTGGCCCCCCCCCCGAAATTTTTTTTCTGGCTACGACCGTGTACCTGAGCATCAGCCATTAGTAGACTGAAAACCGCAATCCAACCGGAGACGTGTCTTTCGGTCTTCATATCAAAAGTCCCTTGGGTATCCATTAAGAAGATCAGACCCTACATGTTCATTAGTGGGCGCATTTTGAAGCCTTACATTCTTGCCGCGTATCGGTTGGCTGCGGATCAATATCCCTTCTGTATGCCTAACGTCCCCTGTTCGGTAATTGCCCCTTAAAGAATGTTTGAATTTCTTTGAAGCAAACCGGAGTACTTTCCCATTCTGATCGCTGAACTGCTTAGCCAAGTAGGCGAGAAGAAAGCTCTTTCCAGTTCTTGCGGGACCCATTATGCTGATGATGCGCTTCTAAGCATGGATGTTGTTGAAATAATAGTGTTTAAGTAACATGACTGGTTTATATGCACCTCGTCGCAGGCATATCTTGGATCCCCAATAGTTCTTTCTATAGCTTCAGCATGAAAATGACACCGATTGTCTTCGAAAGAAACCAGAAGCTCCCAAGTCGCCTAGATATATTTACTTACACAGTAAACTATTCACCTCATTTCCTGTGGCGCCGTGACCCATGTCTCTATAAAAGACGTTGCAGGCACAGAATAAGACAAATCAAGGAATTGGGCATCAAATGACCTTTTATGGCATTAGCAAATCAGGTAGAACGAATTTATTCCTGTGACCGTATGAAAAAGCCTGGGAAAAAAGCGAAGCAACAAAAAAAACACATCGGTTTATCATGAACCAAAGAATCTCCACCAGCTGCGCTTAGTCTGGGGAGCAGGTTGCGGACGGACCTATGTAAATGGTGATATATGATCCTGAAGAACTTGGAATTCGCACCAACTTCAAGGAAAACATGGCTAGAGAATTCATTGTTGCTAGAGATTTTGATTAGATGAACTATTCACCTCCGGTTGGCTAGGGGTTGCGTTTGGTGGTGTTCGCTGCCCGGCATTGTCTTCGCTCGTCGCCCGACGTCTCTATAATAATTTTTTGCTAACGCCAGAATACTAAAGTACTGTGTTTCTGTGTGGATATTTTTTGTCAGTCGGCAAATTTTTGAAATTTCGTAAAAGCAAGTTTACAAGATTACATCCGGTTTCGCAAAGCCCGTGGATCTGCGGCTGTGATACTTCGCATAACGCGAAAAATGTAATTTCGCGTTCCTTGGCAATTGTACACGCAAAAAATCCTACCTCGCTTCAACCAAACCAAAAGTCAAAATTACTTGTGGTGAGCGGTTTGGACTAGAAGAACTATTCACCTCGTTTTGACCAGGGCTCCCGTTTGGTGTAGTTCGCGGATCGTTATTGCAAAATATTAGGGTCGCGACCTGCCAAACGAAAGTCTAGCCAGCAGTTCAAACGAAGGCTTGACAAAAATAAGTTTGCGGAGTGAAAATGTTTTTCACTACTCCGAGAAATGCACAACCTCGAAAAATGCACGACCTCTGGCAACAACATCTGCCAGCATCGGTGACTAACCTGGTGTCTCAATTCCATATCAAGAAGATGGAGTCTGCCTATCATCGTCCAGATATCAGCGTTTTGCTTTTGTTCTAAAAATGTGTAGCATGTGAACAGCGTTCAGACCGATAAACACTGCGACAATCCGACACTTCCGCTGCAGTGGCTTTTTTTTCCTGGGACTGTATTAATACCAGCGATTGTATCTCAGAAGATACGAAAAGTTTCTTCGTCGGGATCGCTCTGCCCCCAAGCGTGAGCTCCTGCCCGCAGAAACCGAGATCTAATGTCACTGGCACCTTTCGAAAGCTCAAGGGTATTTTTTTCAGCAGGGCCAGTTTTTGGAAAACCGTTACGTGGCTTGTCAATTTTGGGCACATCTGGGTCCTTTATAAAGCTTCATTTTGCACGGCTTTTCCGAAATCCGTAACTATGTCCTGCACCTAGAGCCTCAGTGGAGGGTTTTTAAGGTTTGTATGATACGTCATTACGATTTGTTGTTTCGCTATTAAAATTAAGTTTTTGTAAATATATCGAAAAACCTCTTTGTTAGAAGGCAATTTGCATGCGCCGGAAGTGGAGACAGCCCATATAAATCGCTGAAGGGGATGCTTTTCATATTTTTGTTTATGCGGATTCGGGGGGTGGTGTGCAAAGCGCAGACTAGTGATGGGGTTATTCAAATCAAATCCGGGATCAAATCTGAGGATTTGATTAAGCTTCCGTTTCTTATTCAAATCTCCAAATTTTTGCATGCAAAGCACGCAAAAAAGGCTTTTTTCAGCGCAGAAGCATAAGAAAGGATACATTTCTACTCTTTGCATGCAAAAATTTGGAGATTTGAATAAGAAACGGAAGCTTAATCAAATCCTCAGATTTGACCCCGGATTTGATTTGAATAACCCCATCACTAGCGCAGACCATCAGGGGCACTACAGGGTGTCCCAAGAAAAATCGACCCCCTCTAGCGGACCGCAGAAAGCTCGGATCGGAATGATTTTCACACCATTCGAAAGCCCTTCAAACGGTGAGAAAACAAGCGCCTTTGGTTTTCCAAAAAATTTTAGCCTTCGCTTGATATTCAATGATTTCGGTAAAAAGCGTAAAACCAGCATCATCCTATTTGTTTTAGCAAGCAATTAACATGCCGATTTTGCATAAAATCTGCAGTTTTCATCGATTTTGGCCCTAAATTTAATGAATTAAAATTCCCATATTGAAAAACGAAAAGTGCTTGTTTTCTCGCCTTTTCGAGTGCTTTCGATAGATACCTAAATCGTCAAAATCGGACATGACTGCGGCCCGCTAGAGGGGGGTCGATTTTTTTTTGGGACACCCTGTAGACCGGGCCTAAAAGCCGGAAAGCGGTTTTTCAACCCTGATAGTAGGATCATAAGATGCTGCGATGTTTTACCTGCGAGCTTGTTGTCCATCTTTCGTCGATATTTCTTGTGTTTCTTCTCTTGCGATAGAACTTTGTCTTTGATCTTCTGGATGGCAATGTTCTTCCGAGCCCTATCGCGAAATGCTTCTTCGATCTCCTGAAAAGCCCCATGCCAATTTAGCCGGCCTACGTCGAAGGCTTTCCGATATTTAGGGTCGGCTATTATCAGACGAAACGCGTTTTTTTTAAATAAGCCGCTCGCTTGATCGGGAGACTAAGAACTAACCCTAAAAATCGGGCCAAGTCCATCATAATGCATATCAAACACGTCGCCAATCACTGAAATATCGTCAGGTGCGAGAGTCTCTTCGATCACAAGCAGCGCGCTTTCCTGAGGGATATTATTGGCACGACTAAGGCTTACTTTGCGAGCCATGTAGTCGTCTCGAAGGATTGGCTCCATCTGACTAATGACTCGCTCAAGGTCTTCTTCAGAAGTGAGACCCGGTTCTCGCTGAAATTGTTCAGGGATTCGAATATCATGATATGGATATATAACATCCATTATGCTTACCGCTTTTAGCTGCGTAGCGTATTCACTTTGTAGTTCAGAAAACATCATTCTCATTTTTTCATCGGCCTCGGCGTTAGCATTATCACCGCGAAGGTCGGCGAACCGGGCCTAAGCGGTTTTATTTGCTTATTTATTTTATTCATTCATTTTATTTGCTGATTTATTCATTTGAAAACATGGGGTTATAGTACTAAAAATAGCTTAAAAATTGCGATCAATTAGTGGGGGAAACTTCATGGGTTGACCCCCGCCCGTACGCTGAGCACCATTTACTCCCCCAAAATTTCCATATGAAGGCATCACTTTCGCTCACGCACAAACCCGAATTTTCGAGACAAGGAGGCTGCGTCTGTGGTTGATCGCATCGCGCTGAGCATGGAAGGCGGAAGTCTCTAAAAGTCTTTTGTTATTTTGAATTTGCTACACAGTATGCCTGGCTGAATATAAATGTTATGGGGCTTATTTATTGGCTCCCCGACATTTGCCGCCCACAGTTTACTATGGAAATGGGCGCAAGTGTCGGGCCGCATATCTCGTGGCAGCTGTTTATTGGCCCTGTGGGCGCAATTCGCCCTCGTTGAAAAAGCCCTACGTTCATCAAAGGCGTCTAGTGCATTGCATTCCGCCGTAACACTTTTGGTCTCGATTGCTTGCATCGTCATGCTCCCGGAGAGTTTTTCTTGGATACTTGGCTGAAAAAAAGAATCGACTGAGAATCAGGCTGTGCCTATCTGTTACCTTCATTTCCCTTTCATACAACGCGAGACTTGTATTCACAGCGTCAGCCAGTGCCTCATTCACAAATCGCTCTCGGTTGTGTTCGGTTTTTGCCAGGATCCGTTCCTAGAATGTTTGTTCTTTTGCCGCCGTCAGGAAAGGTTGGGAACAAAATTGTGGATGTCACCAACGTCAAGCACTCGGACAAAGTGATCAAAGTGGGTTGTTTTGGCACTAGCGCTTCCGAATACGGGACAGTCATTGTAGGCCTGTAAAAATGGAAATGTCTTCTTAGGAAGTGTTGATTCTTGAGTGTGGATGACAAATCGCAAATAAAATACTCGAAAGGCTCCTTCTCGAATTATGGCAAGCTGTTCCTCGTACAATTGTGGTGCCATTGGACGGTGTTGCAGCGAGGTCGTGAACTAAATGCAGCGATATTTTTCGCCAACTTTATCCTACGGCAGAATGAGCGACCCCAAAGTGTTCCATTCCAGCCGCTCGTGCCCTTTCAAAATAAAGCTGCGACGTTGCCTAAACTGGCGTTGTATAAAACGCTGCGAATTATTAGCTGGATGATGGGGATCATGGTGAATCAGTTTTTTCTTGAATCCCCAAACTGTTTCTTGCATAACTCACGTCAAAGGCCGATCCGAGCGATCTGTGGTCCCCATCCGTTATGTGCGTGACGAGATTCTAAACAACAGCCGAGAAGTAAAATGCTCGCTCAGAATCACCTCCACGTGCTCCCTTAAGGTCACTCCCGTGAGGGGGGTGCCATAAACCGTTTTTGGTTCAAGGCTTTCCAAGAGATGGTTGGCACATTCGCACAAGCCATCTAAGAAATTCCTGCCGCAATCTGGAACGTTGTGGTTTTCATCCCGGAAACGACAACCACCGCAACAGTGGGACCGCTGCGCCTTTCAAAAATCTTGCTGGTACCTTGGGCGACGATTCCATTGCTTGCGTTTAGCAATGGATCGGCGGGCCGGGGTATCATCCAACAGTCGACAGTGCCAAAAGCCTCGAAAACTCCATTTAGAAGGGCTCGCAACTTTTCCGTATTCCTCACTTGATTCTAAAACAAACCGACCGTCAAAAAATCGAATCGAGAAAGCGTTTCAATCGACGCTTATTTGATTAATCGTAGCCGGAAATTTTTTTTAAGGTAAACAAGACCTGCCAAATAATTTTGACTTAATCTTTTAGGGTCGTCAATGGGGAACCGATGACGAGTGGAAAATAAAGAAAATAAAACTACTGTATTTAGTTACGGGCCATAACTCAGGATTAATGCTGTTTAGGGTCGATACAGTCCATTTTGTAGCATTGTTTAAATCTGCATACTCTCACTGGGTTAATTATTCAAATGCTGCGAAATCCCGCCCAAGAACTATATATACAGGGTGTCCCAAAAAAAAAGACGACCCCCCCAAAAATTTGAGCCAGAGGGTACCTACGGAGCTGAAAATTTGCACAGAGGTAGCGGACCCAATTTCCCATGTATATGGAAAGTTTGAGCCATATCGGCCGACGGGTTTTAAAGTTATAGCGAAAATACTTTTGATTTTTAATTTAATATGGGGATCTTTGCAATTTGCATCAAAAATATGCGTTATTCTTGCATTTACGAGCCGATTTTGCATTTTGCTATAACTTTAAAACCCGTCGGCCGATATGGCTCAAACTTTCCATATACATGGGAAATTGGGTCCGCTACCTCTGTGCAAATTTTCAGCTCCGTAGGTACCCTCTGGCTCAAATTTTTGGGGGGGTCTTTTTTTTTTGGGACACCCTGTATAAAAAATAGTGTTTGTGTGTGTGTGCATTTGCATGCAACTTCCGTCACCGTGTTCCAGCAGTATCTCAAGAAGGAGAGTGGTTAGGGGCAGTTTTGGTACATCAATAGATGCGTAATGGGCTGGAGATGACTGCACGCATTTCAGATTTAACAAATCGTCTATTTTCGACATTAAATTTAATTTTTGTTGAAAAATCCGAGACATCTTTGTTAGGAATCAATTAACATACACCGGAAGCTTATTTAAAAGAGCAGAGCGCATGTTTCACTTTTTTCAGCGTGAGTGGGGTGGAATTATGCAAAGTGTAAACTTTCATTGGTCCAGTACGGGGCCAGGGTTGAAAAGTCACGAAGCGGCTTTTGAACCCTGGTTTTCAAATGAAAAACTACGAGAATTAGATACTACAGTTACGCACCCGCAGTGAGTCAAGGTAGTTCTTTCCTGCCTGATGGCCAGCTTCCGTGGCGTCGCGAACCATGAGCATAAATTGCTAAACCAGGGCTGGGCGGTTCGAAAAACTTTCTACTTGTCCGACTCGCTCGTCAGTCCTTTGGCTGAAGTTAATGAAAACATTCAGCGCATCAAGGTCTTGGGCATCAATCCTGTGCATCGTGTTGAATACCTGCACCAGAAAATGTTGCTTTTTGTCCCGCTTCCTACCTGCAGGGAAGACATCAATAATGAGATGGCAAAAATTGCCGTAGAATCTGACATCGGGCCTTCCAGGTCAAAGTTGCCTTGACAGTCAATCAAGAGCACCGCAACCTACAATCGAGCTTAAAGGGCACGTTAAGGCACGTTTTTTTGGCAAGAAAGCAAGGACTTTTGCCGCGGCCGGGGGGTCGAACCCCGGCCCCCCCGTTCGGGAGGCGCGGATGCATGCCAGTCAGCCACAGGCACAACCTGGTGCGGGTGCGAAGGGCGCCCTACCCCCGGAAAGGAGGGGATTCCCACTGCACTGGCAGGCTGTGCGCGCGGTCCCTACGTCCATAGGGTGTATACGTTGGAACGAGTATACGGCCCCTCCCTGAACGTGCGCTTTAAAGCCGGCCACGCAAAGGTCAGAAGTTGCCTTGCTCGACAAACCTGTTCTCCTTTCAGCTCGCGCCAGAAAACTTCGGGCCAAACCATAATCCCCACGGTATCTCGGTTCGAGCCGGCCTTGAAGGGTATGCCACCATTTCCCCTGAGAAAAAGGCGAATATAGTAACTATAACTAAAAAAAGGTTGTGTGTGCCACTTTGCCTGCAAATTCCGTCATTATGTTTCAGCTCGCAAGCGAAAACGGCTTTCAACACAAATGGGGCTTTAAACATGTCAAATCGTCGAAAAAGTTCTATTTACGATATTAAAATTCCGTTTTTATAAAAATCCGGGGGCCCCTTTGTATTAGAGTGCATTAGCACACACCGGAAGTGGGAGAAGCCTATATACAGGGGCAGATGCGGGTGTTTTCCATTTTTTGGCATCGCGGTCGGGGACGTACCAGCAAAATGAACTCTGTCATTAGATCCTAGAATGGCCCAGGGGTGGAAAAGCCGCGCAGCGTGGTTAGAGGCTAGACTTCAGTTCCGATTATGATATCACAGTTCTCCTGGCTTGCAAAAACGGATTTTTCTACAGACATCGGCTTATAGGGTCGAACGCCGCGCGCGATCCTTCGCCGCACTACGAAACAATGAATTAAGCTTGAAAGAATGAGTCCCTCTAAAGTTCGCTTTCTTAACTCTTTAGGTCGTGAAGTAGTTGAGCTAATTCTTTATGCACGGGGTCCCTTTGAAGGGACCACGAAATGCCTAAATTGAGTTACGGTCCGAAAACCAGCGCCCTGTACCTCGGAGGCCTCTGTACACCCATGAGCGCATTGATGAACATGATTTTCGGTTACCCAATATATTCGGCGTCGCTAAATGTAGCGGTTCCGTTCTGCAATCCCTTCAGCAAGACGTTGTTCCAGAACGTTTTTCCTTGTCGAAATTTGCCTGCGGTGCTGATAATCGCCACCTGAAACGGTCCATCTCAAGCATTGCGACAAGGATGTTTATATTGGAGGTGAAAACCAGGCACATTTGTATACCTTGTTTTTGCCAATCTGACTGCACAAATCGTCCAAGAGATCAGTGTCAAACAAGGCGCGCCCGTCATCGTCAATGTTGAACAACTGTGTCATTCGAGGTCCGAGAGGAGGATTGTCTTCTTCCCGTAGCTCTGCCTGCAAAATTCATAATACTATGTGTCCCGAACCCTCTCGTCTATCCTTGAAGTTCTGAAGCCTTGCCCGATTTTTACGATTTTGGTATCTAACGAAAGCTATCGCAAAGTTCTCCGATTTTCGAAATTACGGGATTTTTCTTACAATTACTAATATTTTTGTGCAACCAGCCGAATGTCTGATGCTGTTGCGATGACATAATTTTTTACAAAAATCACAATTTATGAACTTTTATGTTTTTTTACTGGCAGCCCGATGTTTTTTACAAAAACATGTCCGGTTTTCATGAAAAGGAAACTTAAGAATTGGTTTCGAAAATTGAAGCTAAATTTCGCGCTCTGCTGAGAGCTTTCGATAGGTACCGAAATCGCAAAAATCGAACATGCCTCCAGGTCGCCCTGTACTGTAATTCAAGCACCATAAGCCGTGGACTGATTTTAACGCGCTGCCGGGTGGATTACGCAATTTGTGAACGCTTGAGCAGAGAGGGCAAGGGAGTGACAGCAAGTGCCAAAAATTTAAATTACAAGATTACCTTACACAGAAAATTTTGCTAGGCAGGAAACACAAGAAGACCAACCTCTGACCCGGCCGATGGTTCAACGGAGGGCGGTTGTTCTTCATCAGGTTGCTGCAGACTGCCTGCATTGTCATCCTCGTTGTACTCCGATGCCAGTTCCTCGAACTCCTCTTGCTGCCTCACAACCAGCGGTTCTCCGACGACCACCTTCATAAAGACAAGGGTCAGACATTTGAAAGAATATTCAGCTCCTAATACCCAGAAGCGGTTCAGAACATGCTAACAAGGAGTCGTTTTTAGGTGCTTTTGGAGTTTCGGGACGGTACGTAGCTAGTTCGATAGAGAAAAAAATTTTGAGCAACATCCCGTTTTCAAAAAAGTGCTGATCGATAAGCAGGTACCTTGCAGGTCCTTGCAACGGACCAAAGTAAAGCCTCATGACAAGGCTCACCTGATTAGCGAACAGAGCATCAAGTCGCGCACGTTGGCCTTCGTTCCTCGCAGCCATGAACAGGCCCTTCAAATTAAAACGCTGGGTTTTATACAATTGTGTATGTAGAGAATGCCAGGGAGCTCACTGACTGTAACCGTTTTTTGTTGACCGTGGGATTTCGATACGTGAGATAGCACATTTTGTGCAGAATTTTTCGCTGATTCCGAATCCGTTTTCAAAAGTTGCGGAACCCCTCTAGATAAAAAGTTACAGCCGGTTTTCTACCCCAAATGACCGAAAATTACAAAATGTAAATCCTTATAAAAAACTCGTGGAACATTTTGTGGGATAAAATACAGCACACTGAGGGGTAAAAAAACGTGCTCTTTCGAATGGGCTACCTCACGAACCCGTAGCTCAAAATTCACAAAATTTCAAAAATTGGCCATCCAGGGCATCATTAGTCCACCGAAAAACTTTTTTTCATCAATTTTGAGCTACGGGTTCGTGAGGTAGCCCATTCGAAAGAACACGTTTTTTTACCCCGAGGAATGCTGTATTTCATCCCACTAAATGTTCCACGAGTTTTTTATAAGGATTTAAAGTTTGTAATTTTCGGTCATTTGGGGTAGAAAACCGGCTGTAACTTTTTATCTAGAGGGGTTCCGCAACTTTTGAAAACGGATTCGGAATCAGCGAAAAATTTTGCACAAAATGTGCTATCTCACGTATCGAAATCCCACGGTCAACAAAAAACGGTTACAGTGAGCGGTTTCTAGTGTGCTACGCTCTCGGATAAAGAGCATGTATTATTCCCATAGACCTGAGTTTCAAAGGGTTTTGATTTTAGAAAAAGGTAAGATGCATTTTTTAAAAACTGTTTTAAAGAATTTTTGATGCAAGCTATTTTGTGCGTGCACGGACAATGTGCAATGTGCCGTATGCGCCTACGGACTATGCTGTCACGCTTACCATTATCGCATTTGTACGCCGGTCTGCTTTCTCTTCATCAGTTAGCTCCTGTTGTTGGAGATACTATGAGGATTCTCTTTATATTGAATAAACCGTTCAAACCTCCATGTTTAACAGAAATTCTTGGTAGAGAGCGTCCGCCGCTGCGTCCTAAAAGGATCCAATAAACTGTTGTAAGCTAGTACCGCATTTTCCGCTACGGTGCCAGTCATCAGGACGAGGACGCTTCGGCGTGGAGACCTGAAAGGTTATGATTTACGTTGACTTTTTGGGCGTCGTCTCCCATACTACATTAAAAGGACAAGGAAGCCCTGACTAACGCAAATTTTTATTGCGGATGGATTTAGTATAGAGGCAGTTTCTGGAAAATTACAGAAAGCTTTGTGAAGCACACATAGTTTTGAGAGCTGCGTGAAAGTTGCTCTAGTGCCGCATATCCCTAACAAGGAGTCGCTTTTAGGTGATATTGGAGTTTTTGAGCGAGACCTAGTTAGTTCGATAGAGAAAAAAAATTCTGAGCAAGATGTCGTTTTCCAAATCTGCTAACCGTGTATTGTATTCGATAAAAATGAATTTGAAAATCATTAATTTCGCCATCATTTCTCACCTGATCCGCAGTTTTGGCTCGGGAGGTGCGTGTGAACATAGCCTCCTTCTGACCCTTGAACCAGCATGATGGCGTGGCATATTGGTAGTGCACTTGCTTCATAAGTTTTAGCTTGTTTTTGCCTTCGGGTTCGGCTCCTAGCTAGAGAAGCTCTTTTGCTTTTTGCTCTGTGATGCCAAATATCAGCTCAATAGCATTAAAAAATAAAAAAGCAAAACAGCTATTCAAAAAAAGTTCCGAACTCCGAGCATAAATTTGCAAAAGTCTGATAGGCGTCTGCACTATCCACTAGGCCACAATCACATGCGGATGCTGGTACGCGCTGCGGCCTATGTCCCGAGCCTGATTCATCTATGGCAGCGCGCCACGGAATTTTTTCATTAAAATTCATTTTCATTGAATACAGTACACGGTTAGCAAATTTGAAAAACGACATCTTGCTCAGAATTTTTTTTCTCTATCGAACTAGCTAGGTCTCGCTCAAAAACTCCAATATCACCTAAAAACGACTCCTTGTAAGAAGTTATACGGAAGTCACGGCGAGAGTAACAACGGTAGGATCTCCACGGGTCCCGCTGAATACGACCCTACGGCGCCGAAACAATCCAAACTCAAACACCATAGCCAAGGTTCATATAAGTCGACCTGCCTGCCAAAAAAAGCGCTGGATGGCCCCTTTTATATTGAGGCCCGATTGTATTGCAGTGAAAAAAATATACCCTTTACGTATCTGGCTTTTTTGGCCGATAAGCCAGAATTGCTTGTGCAAGACCTTCGCTCTGTCCCCGGGAAAATCGGTAGGAACTCGATAAGCCCGCCTGCGAGGTAATGGCTTCGAAAGTCCACCGTTTATGGCTCTTGGATGACAACCACCTAGGAATCTTTTGCGGACCCACATCCAGCAGAAGGTAAATGGACGCCATAACTCAAGCGCAATCTACATAAATTTGTGTCGCAACTGTCCTAGGAAATGGCAGATTAAGTTGATTTTTTTTCTTCGGCGGGCGACCCTGCGGACCAGTGCGATACCGAGGAATACCGATGACCGAATACCGACCGCTGTTTCCAGGCGACACTCAAACATCTCTTCCTTTGTACGGAAGTCGAGGATGGTCATAATTGCGATCATGCTTGCGACCACCCCAATTTGCTTCCAGCTAGGATGTACAAGAACGTGTTTCGACACTTCCAGTGTTTGGCACTGTAGGCTTATCGCGCTGATCCCGTTTGTTTACCTCGAACCTGCAAATTCGGGCAGCAAAGCTCGCGGTAAGCACGAAGCCCACCCGAATCTTGATTACGGGGCGGTTCTTTGCGGCAAAAATTTTGTTGCGCTGCAATTTTCCGTCGACACAGTTTTCGAGCGACTCCATGAGGTTTCGCAAGCTGAGATGAATAAATTTAATCTCATAAAAAAAAACCTATTTCGACATCACATATTTGACAAACCGAAAACTGCTCCATTTCAAAATCTGCCTGGCTAATACATGCATTTATTTATATGACTGCTAGCAAGTTAACTTTGATAAAAAGGTTCGATCGACTAATGAGAGACCCCCACGTCCGTTGAGATTAAAAATCTTTAAATTAATAGGGCCAGTGTGAAAATAGTTGGGCATCCCATTGCAACGATTTTTAATGGGCGGGTATTTTAAAATCTTTCGCAACTGTCGCAATTTTCAGAAAACTATCAATCTTGCCTCTCTACTCGTCTTCTCAACTTCAAGTCCATGGCAGCATGCACGCGAGCTTACTGATTACACTGATGCCCTGAAACATCTCCGTCCCTGAATCCTACTATATATAAAAAAAAATAGTGTGTGTGTCTGTGTAGATTTGCATCCACTTCCGGATGTATGTTCCGCTCATAACGAGTCAGGGAAGAAGTTTTCGGACATGTTTGATACGTCATTTGATGCGTGATGGAGTGAAGATGACTGCCGACTTAATAGATTTTTCAAAATTTACTATTTTCGACATTAAATTTAGGTTTTTGTGAAAGGACCTTTGTTAGGCAAAATTTGCATGTTTTTGAGGAGCGGAGCGGCTTTTCAACCCTGGTCTGAATCTAAATCGTTCTCAAATTTCAATTATAACCTTGATTTGAGAATCATTCGTGGGGTCATCCTATTAGTCAACTCCTCTTTCCAAAATGTTGATTCCCTCAAAATTCTCCCACTAGACAAGAGCGAAAAATCATTGCATCTCACTGTTGGAATTCGATGGCTTCACCGGGGTCCGATTTCGACGAGGGTTTTGGTAACAATACCGAAGCGCACGCAGAAAACGCGCCGTGCCCCGAATATGGGGATTTTGCTGTACATACCTGCGTAGGTTTTATTAGGCTATGCATGTAACATAAGGAGCGGCAAAGTATCACCAAATACGAACCCGTCACTTCAGTTTGGATTTATCGGTGTACTGGCGTTTCAAATGGTTCAGCTGCTCGGGCTTGTGATATGTTTATTAGCTGTGATGTGGGTAGATTATCATATTTGTAGCTCCGGGGGCATAGCCTTTACGTCCTTAAGCCGACTGAATTACCGTTTCTAATTTTTATACCTCAAATTCTAGAGGAATTGCCTCTACAAGCTCGTCACGGACGCATCTACGTTGAACGTGACGATGGCAACGATGACAACCTATATCATACCCTTCATACTCGGTAATGCAATTATACCAGGGTTATTTCTTGGTTGTGCTGTGGTTGGTGTGCTGCGGAAGCGTCCTGCGTTGCTCTGGGTTCATTTCGGATACTGGACGGTAAGTCCAGCGCAAAAAAAGCCCCGATTTTCTTATCTTTCGGGTAATTTTCAAACCTTCTTAATTAAAATTCTGGCCCAGGTGGGCCTCAATTTGGTAGTCGCAAGCGTTTTGCCAGCATTGGTTAATCAGGCCACCCGAAACCCGGGCGGCGAACGCATTTGCCAGATGGTTGTTGGAGGTAGGGTCCAATCTCGAAAACCATTCCCGATTTTGAGGCCTACTAACTATCTACTGTTTCGTCATGGCGGTGCTGACCTTTTGAAACATCAGGGCGACGAACATTTGCTGAGAGTGGTATTGAGATATCGACTCCAACGTTCATTTTCATTCATTTCATTTTCAGAATTTTACCTTTCGCTCCATTGCTTCTCCGCCATTTTGGCCTTCCTCAACATCAAAGCGATGGAAACATGCCCGCAATGTTACTGAACACATCGATGAGTTGAATGCTCATGTTAGGACAATAAATATTTTTGATTGTATCGCTCCTCCTGCTCACGCTTTCTATAGCTATCTCATTCTCTCGCTCTCGCTCTCTCTCTCTCTCTCTCTCTCTCTCTCTCTCTCTCTCTCTCTCTTTCTCTCTCTCTCTCTCGCTCTCTCTCTCTCTCTTTCTCTCTCTCTCTCGCTCTCTCTCTCTCTCTTTCTCATCTCACGTTCGCCTTCTCGACGTTTTTTCCGCCAAACCCAGCTTTCAACAGGGTCTATTACAACGATTGCCAGTTCCTTTAAAAACCTCTTCACTATTTCATTATTCTCCTCTCAAATTTTGTTATTAAATGACTGGCCAGGCGGCCGATTAGTCAGTTTCCCCCCTTTGGTTGACTGTCGCCAAAATTGCCCTCCTATTTCATTTCCAGATCGATGAGCTACCCAACTGCCGAATTCGACAATGGCTTCCTGCCGAATTCAGAATATAATGAAGTGGAGCCTTCTGAATCCGGGGATTACGTTGTGCATTCCTGCGTAAGGGTTTCTAGGCTTATAGAGTTAAGTTTTAGGAACTGTCTACAAATCGCACTCGGCACCGGTTCTTGAAGGTAGCTTTTAGTCTAGTGTATTATCTTTGAGTGTCCAGTACCGTAATTTCCCATTTGCAGTACGGCTTCATTGCTGCACTGGCAATTCAGGGTGTGGTGCTGCTGCTCGATGTGGCCTTTTTGATGTTCTACATGTGGGTAGATTAGCTAATAAAAGTAGATTTTGATAAATAATAGTTAGTAAACTCTCTCATACACATTTCTGACGTTTTTAAACTTGGAAATCAAACCACCAATTCCTGGCGTTTGAAATCATAAAAAAATTACAGGCTTTGAAACAACAAGATTTTAGAGGGTACGTCCTCTACAAGCTTGGCACGGATGCAACAGCGAAACCAGTGGATATGCAGTCGGCAACGGTGATCATAATTGCCATGCTTGTGGCCGGAATTATTCAAGGCGTTTTTCTTGGTTTTGGCGTGGTCGGCACTCTGCGCAAGCGCCCCGCGTTGCTGTGGATCCATTTCGGTTACTGCACGGTGAGCTACCGATAGCAAAAATAGTCGTATTCGAAGTGCCGACGGGAAAAGATTTCCATTGCCCAACACCTGACAACTATAATCTTTCCATCGATCGACCAGGCGAAATCCCCAAATCCATGACCTCTACGAGGTATCAGAGCCACCCCCCCACCTACCTAGAGGTCCCCGTCGGGCCCGATTTTTATGATTTAGGTGTCTATCGAAAGCTTTCGAAATGGCGAGAAGACAAGCAATTTTCGTTTTCTTGATCAAATGAATTAATTGTGCATTTTTATGACTGAAAGCTGTGAAAAGAGGGTGTTTTAGGCGGGGACCGCTTGTTAAATGCAATAACGGTACAGACAAATACGCGTTTTTAGTAAAATCCTTAATATCAAGAAAATGCTCAATAATCTATAAAAACGAAACCAGCCTGTTTTCTCGCTATTTGAGGGCTTTCGGATGGTGTAGTAATAATCTCAATACGAGCTTCTCCTGACCGCTAGGTCGGGAAGCCGGGGGGGGGGGGGTTTCGGACACATAAATAATAATAAAATCACCTTCATCATATTCCCAGCATTGAAACGCGGTCATGTTTTTGGAGAGCGAAATCACGATAAAATTCGTGATTTCGGTTGTCGACATTCTGGTTGGCAGGACTTGCCTTACGGGTTTTGAAATGCCATTTTTCACAAATTCCTATGGCCGGAATTTCCTAAGGTTCGTGCTTGTCGGGATTTTTCCTGTTAAGTGCTGCTTTAAAAAGCGGAGTTTCCTGCCTTTACAACCTTCACAACCCCAACATTTCATTTAGGTCGGCTGCCTCATGACAGGCCTTCACCTAGTGTATCTGGTTGTCGTACTGGCACACGCGCCAAAACTACTTGAAAACATTCTCATGATTGTGCTCCAACTTGGTAGGGCTGATCATCGGGAACTACCCCATCTTCCAGTCGTGGAAATTCTGCCCGCTTTGATCGTCACCCTTCTGACCTTCTTCAACATCAAGGCGATGAACACATGCCGAGAATGCTATTAAAAACCAATTTTCAATACTTGCTCTGCTGAAATAAACGATTGGCCTTGTGAATCGAGCTAAAACTGGTCTTTGGAATTCATAATGCCAAAATTGATATGGCCGAAACTTCTAATAATACCGAAATTTTCGCTGATGCCGAAAATCCATAATGTCGAAATTTGAACAATCGTATTTTCCCGTGTTAACGTAGGTCTTGGATTGTTTGACATTTCGACATCATCAACTGTCGAAACCATTAATTTCGACATTTTAAAACTAACCCGAAAACTAGAAACTAAATGCTAAATTTCTCGCATTTTTACACTTACTAAAACAAGAAAAATGCACGAAAGATCCTCAAATTGAAAATATTCTTGTGAAATTTCCTTAGTTGTTGAAGCTGCGCTTGTTTGAGAGTTTTTAGCGAGTCGAGAGGAGACGAGGTTAGTCATCGATGATTTTCCGGGCATTTTTGGAACTGGCCAAAGACAGAAGAAGACAATTTTGTGGACCCCTCATTCGATGAGCTATCCAAATTCTGAAATCGACGATGATTTTATGGGAGGATCTGAGTTCTCCTTTCCAATTCCGCATGATTGCGTAAGGATTATCGATTTTTTTGCTCGAAATTCGGCATTTTAAGCCTCTATCAACAAATCGTTGGCGGTTTCTGTTGCTGAAGGTAGGTCGTAACAGCAGATTCAGGAAATCTACTATAACAGTTTCAAAACAAATTATTTTAGTTAGCATTCATCGCCTCACTTTTCCTTCAAATGGCAGTGCTTGTAATCTACGTGCTCGAGCCTATAATGCTTCTGTAAGAAAAGCAATATTTTTTACGACAGCATTAAGCAGCCGAAAAGTATCTTTTTACCCCTTAAGCGTCTGCCTAAATTCAAACGACCGTACGTTGGGGTTTTAAAATGTATTCAAATTACTAATACAAAAAACGTATAAAAAATTTCAGTCTAGCTGAAGACCACCTCCTCTACGGTCTCGACGCTACGGTTATGACCATTTTGCTGGTCGTTAGCATCGTTTTTCTTGGAATTTTTATAGTGGTGGTGTTGCTAGGCATGCTTCGGAAACGACCGACCTTGCTTTGGATTTACCTGGGTTTTCAGGTACGTTTTTGCGAAAAAAAACCGGACCGAGCTGATTTGCTGGAAACTTAAATTCTCCCAACGTAACTATTTCAAAATTAGGGTCTCAGTACTGTAATGCCAGAAAAATACTTCAAAATTGATTGGAATTAGGTAGTCTGCATCCCGTTAATAGTGAGACATTCACTTGCGTGGACTCCAGAATTACACTACGCGACGAGGATGAAGGTTTTTGAAGGTAACCATTTTCATTTTTTCCAGATTACTAAAGTTACAAAATATTTGATTTTTAGCCTTGATTATCCCATCGCAGCTCTTATCGGCCGTTGTCGCCTTGTTCAACATTTCGGCAATGAATGAGTGTCGACGTTGCTATTGAGATTCTTTTTTGGTGTTTTGGCGTTGAAATAAAAGCATAAATTTTCGAAGCTTTCAAGAAACATTGCCATTTGCTTTCTGTGCTTTCTTTTTTCGTTTCTTTCTTTCGACACAAATAAATACGTATCAGAGATTCAGCTTATCCAGAAAAGTTGTTTTTGCACGGCTTCATCAGGAAATCAGGTGCCATCCGGTCGAATCCCTTGGCAACCGACAAGATTGGGACTGTAGTTGCTCCCAAAAAACGGTCCCCACCGAAGGGCTATATTCCTAATTGCGGTTCTGATCTAATTTGCACCTGGGGATGTCAGCTGATTTGCGACATTTTCACCAAAATTTCACTACAAAGTTATAGATTTTTGGCGTGGGCCGTCTGATTTTGTCAAAACCTTTGCAAAATCTTTTTTTACTCAAAGAAACATGTTTTTCAGTTATTGCCTGTTATCATTATCTAAGAAAAAATAAATATTACTTAATGAAGATTTTGTTTGGGATCTATCGTATTAAATGGAAAAATTAAGGATGCAACCGCTACGTCCAGCTCCAGATGACTGCTGTCTTCCAATGGAAGGCATTCATAGATGTGTAGGTCCACTCAAAAATTTAGTTGCAATATTATTTTTCAGGAGCTATCCGAAGACAACTTCCGCCACCGCCGTTTTAAGGTATCATGGTTCTTAAAAACCGTTCGCCCACCTTTAGAACTGGTTCCTTGTCCAGCTCTTCCTATCGTTTTTCTTCACCATGGGGGCGTTGGCCGTAGTGTACCTCGACTCACAGCAAGATCTCAGGTCGCGAAATTACTAAACTATAGAAAATATATAACCAATGCTAAATATTATCTAAAATACGTTCCTGTTAGTTCGACCAGAGAAGAGTGGGATTATCAATTCGACCGGCGCACCCCCAAAGCGGCGGTGCTGATCGCCATGTCCTTGCTGCTGGTGTGGGCCCTATGTCATGCTCTGGCTATCCGAGCTGTTCAGAAGAAGTGGGCCACCGTGCTCTCGGCCTACACCATAATCATGGTAAGTTGTTTTCAAAGGATCTTAAAAATTCCCAACTAACCATAGAATTTGATAAACCCATTTCCGGCCGAGCTTCCAATTCATCTACCTCGGTTTTTTGTGCACAATTATTTTTTTCATCTATTTAAAAAATACGCTTATGCTGTAGAGCAACATGCGCCATTTTAAATACATCCAAATAAATTTAAGATCGTCGCCTGGTGCTTGGCCGGTTGGGAGTTGACGATTCACAAGCGTGGCGGTACGTTTTTAGGACGTTTCCAAAGTTTTTAGAAATAGGAAATCCGCAGAAAACCCTTTTTATGTTGTTTTTTTCAGGGTTTAACATTTGCGTGATCTCGCTGCTCATCTACCTATCCAACAAAAACGTCGTGGCCATGAAGACCTGCCCGGATTGCTACTGACCATTAATTACGTTTTTCTGGAAATTTTCAATAATCCTAACCAAATCACATCTCGATATTTCTGATGGTAAATAAATGTTAGTCTGTATTAATGTGTAAATAAACAGCACAGAAATTACAGGCCAAGGGGGTAGATAAACGATCGAGCTTAAACTTTAGATGACTGAAAAATATCACGCAATTTTATGCTTTTTCCAACGCCAACCAATCTCCTGCTGCTAACTGTTGTGTTAACAGTTAACTGTTAACTGCTGAAAACTGTTAAAATCTCCAACCACTGGGCTGAAATTAGGCATGTAGCCGCCGACGCTAAAAAACGCCTCTCCCGAACGCCCATGTGACTGAATTATTTTTGGCCGCAATTTAATTTGCACCTGGGATCCCGACCGGTTTTTTTGGACTGCCGTTCGGCGAAAATCCCATTGCACTCCCCAATTTCTAATGATGGAGCATGTGATTTTCTGCAAGACTTCCTCAAAGGAAAATCCCCCTTCACCCTTATCCGTAAAGTTCTCGTGTGACAGGAATTTAACATTAATTTTAATGATTTACGCACTATTAATACTCTAGTTGTAATTTTCCTATTGAGCTAAAGAATTCCTGGACCTCAGGCGATTTTTGGAATTTAAAAAGCTTTTTTCTTTTAGCATGGGCTACGCTGCCGACCATTTCCTGGCAAGCGACGACAGCCATAAATGCGTAGGTCTATCCAGTAATTAATTTTTCTTGAAATTTGTTAGCGACTCTCGGAAAACAACTTTCGACATCGACGGTTCAAGGTGAGATTTGGATAAAAGTTGTATCAGCTTTCTCTAGAGGGGTTTGCTAGTAATCCTATTCCTCTCGGCTGCGATTAACATCTTGGAAGTGGTCCTCATTTTTGCTTCGGTGTAGGTTTTACACAGCTATATTTATCCATATTTTTGAATCGTTGATGAAGCAGAATATTGACGGTCATTTCTACGGAAATTAACGATTTACAAAAAGTACAGCATGTTCACTTATGACGATAAGATCCAAAGGTGACCAATATAGAGGACCAAAAGACGATTCGGACGACGATCCCTGGAAAAGGCTTTCAAAGCTGGCCGTGCTCTACGCGGAGGTGGTGTTCGTGGCGTCAGTCCTGCTCCACGGTCTCGGCCTCTTGGCTGTCTACAGGAAATGGCGTTTCGTGTTACTGGTCTACACGTTTGTTATGGTCAGCATTGATGAATAGGCTGTTGTTATTAGCTTTTCGGAGAGTTTTAAAGGACCCAACGCCCCTTGGGTTCTATGGGCCCACTAAGGAGTTTCAAACGCTCGCGATACGGATGCGTCGCGTGTCACGGTCTTGGTATTCTATATTTCTAGATTGCCGCATGGTGTGCGTCAGCCCTGGACTTTTTGGAGAATGAACGTGGCGGTAAGTTGTTCGGTGTGGCGATCGCCTTCTCAAACATTTTGAGAACCCGAAATATAGCTAAAAACGCCTTATTCTATTTTTTTCAGTTGCGCGTCTCCTGCTACTCCCGTTCGTCATCTACTTGTCCCATAAGAACGCCACGGCAATCAAGCATTGCCCGGAATGCTATTGATTTGCGCGATAGTCAAAAAAGCGGTTACCAATTTTTCATATTTTTTGTTTAGAATTTCGCGGGTTCCTCATAAATTATTATGTTTGTTTCATGTTTTCCTAAAAGACACGAACAACGTATTGAGTTGGAAAATGAAAAAAAAACCCGATACCTAGCAAATACAGCCTAGTCAACGTCAAAAATTTTCCTCTAAAAGAAATTTATTCTCGACGTCATCAAGTGATAATTTTTACCTCCGGCGCCAACAGCTCCCACGTCTCGAACGATGCAATATTTGCGCCGCGTTTTATCTAAATAAACTTTTTTCTGATACTAAATTCTATCGCTTCTTCCTTTTAGGCGATGCCCCGAATTTACATACCATAAAATACCCATCTGCGCCCCACCCAGTACCCCATGAATTTCTGGCCAGCCAGTAGTTAATACCTTTCCGACTTGTTCCTAAATGCCGCGCATTTCTCTCAAATTTAGGTCTGTTACCGTATCCAATAATCGCCACCGAATGCCCTCCAATGTAGTTTGTGGCCTGCGGATCACAGTGTCCTGCGTAGATTCCGGATTTGTAGTAGAGAAAATCTCGGCAGAAGTACATTGCTGGAACAAGTAATTTTTTGGTTTTTTTTGTGGTTAGATACGTTGGTTATTTAATGCGCAAATCCTACTTACAAGCGATAATTGGCCCCTTGTTCTTCACGAATTCCATTGCTCGGCTCACATTTCCGGTCAGGAATTCGACTTTAGAGATTGGGTATTCGACGTTCTGAAAGTTTATACTGGGATTTAATTAAGGCTCCATTCAAAATAGTGAGAGTGAGAGAGAAAGAGAGAGAGAGAGAGAGAGAGAGAGGGGGGGGGAGAGAGATAGGGAGTGAAACTCAAACCACAGTCTCGTTGCAATCGGCCGGGGAGCGCTTTGGACCGCTGACGTATGGATACTGGGCTCCTCGAGGTATCCCAAACATCTCAATATATCTAAAAGGATCAAAGCATGAAAATAATGTAGCTATCTTAAGCCATCTCATGCTTATCCTTCAAACAACTTACTCCAACGCAAAACGCGACCACCCACCCGAGCAGCCCCATTCGCTCATACTGCAGTCGACGAGGTACTGGAAAAGAACAGCACCATTAGAAAAACTAGAAACATCGTTCGTAAGCCGCAAACTCTAATTTACAGTAAACAACTGCACCAAAAAAAATTTGAGTAGACGAAATTCGGTTGTGCAAATGGTAAAAATTCAAGCGCTTGTTGTGAAAAGTCTCGTTTACCTCTTCAGAATAGCTTCTCCGCTTGTCCCCTATTCGCTTGTTCTTGAAATTGGATTGGATTTCCAAAGCCGCAACAGCCCTACATAAAAATCGACTTTTTTGGCTAGCGTTGTTACGAAAAAGCCCAACAAGAACCACAACGGCCTTGATTTCGAATGGGATTCACGGCCGAAGTAACCCGCCAATCGTAGTTTTTCCGAGTTGCCTAAAATCCAGACATTTTGGAACTATCAATCCGCCTGTAATTACGTTCATACTTACCCTGGATTTTCTTGGAATCTTCGGCTCACTGAGGTCGATATGTTTTTGCATGGGTTTCGGTAGAGCATGAGTAGGGAAAGCCATCTTTGTTAGATGTTTTTTAACGCTTGTGGTAGATTAACTAACCTGCTTCAACTCCTCGTCCGACCAGTCCATGAAGCTCGTCTCGCCAAGCTCATAACTAAAATCTTGAAGTTAGCTATGGTATCGCACGGTAGCTTACTCATGTCCCAGATATTTTCCGCTCATTTGCGCTTCCTTCAAACACTTCAAATTATGGGCAAAATTACGTTTCCGTTTCTTACAATCGACGCTACCATCTGTACAGTTACGGTAGAACCTGAAGGAAATTTGATCAAGTAAAAACGGGGTCTTACCGCCCCTTGAAGCTTTGGAATTTCAGCACCGCTTCTCGATCCAAAATTCCGTCACGATCCACCTGACGGATTGGACGTACTGGCACTTTAGCGATGGGTTTCTTGCGTAGTGCGTCACATAAATAAAGTAGAAAAATAAGAAAGATAATCCGCATAGAGGTCGATAAAGAGGTCGGTAGGAAAGATAAAGGTCACAGGGTGGCGCCTATTGAAAACGTGCCACCGCTGGAGCACGGTGGAGATAATTGGCCTTTCTGGTTTTTTCTCCGATTTCCCTAGTCATTTTCTATCTGACGTGGCTTTGAAAATACCGGCATATCCGCAAAAATACGCAAAATAAGCTTCAAAACTAGCTGCAAGTGCTCTACAGCCAATTTTGCATCCATTTGAAACGCCGTCTAGGCGGTCCGATAAGAGAGGGCGAGAGACAGAGAGAGAGAGAGAGAGAGAGAGAGAGAGAGAGAGAGCGTTAGAGAGCGAGAGAGACAAAGCGGAGAGACAGTGAACGACGGAGAGACTAAGAGAAATTAGCAAAGGCATGATCATTCGAGTGATAAATCGGGCAAACAGTAGACAGTTTTTCGCAGATTTTTCGAAGGATTCCGCAGATCGTACCTGAAAAACCTGCACGTCCAACGATTTAACCGGGTAAGCGGGGGGGTCTGTTGCATAAAATAACATCTCTTGGTATAAATATCCCAAAGTTTCCTTTTTCTGCTCTCTCAAAACCATGCGCTTCGTCCTGTATTTTTATACTTTGGCCAGCGTCTTCAGATTGGGTGCTTGCTTGAGGGGGGTGAGCCTAAATCTTGTATTTCTAAGGAGTCAAAATGTTTACGAGCTTTTGTGCTTTTACGAGGTACATAGCCCATTTGGGGGATCTTGAAGTTCTGAGAGAGATTCTGTTTCGAATATAATTCTTTCTCGATAAACACAGCCTTTCTTCCTTCCTGAGCTAGTATGGCAGCGCTTGAAAAATTAGTCGAATCACTGGGTTTTGAGCTACAGGCCCGTGAGGTAGCTCTTTGAAAAGCAGGGCTGGTACAGATGACATTTACACGCGTGTAAACAACCCAAAATTTACACGCGTGTAAAATATTTATACCTCGGATTTACACGCATGTAAATAGTTTACACGCGTTTTTTTTTGGGATTTATACTCGTGATTTTGCACTTTTAGAGGGTTTTGGTGCCGGAAAATGCGTTTACACGCGTGTATGAATTTCACGGGTGTAAATTTGATCTGGGTACCAGCCCAGGGAAAATAGCTGTAGCTTTTTAAGCGGGCTCCTCAAAAATTTTGGCAAGCAGGTTCGGAATCGGCGACAAATTCTGTGCCAGATCGGCTCGGTCCCGATTGGAATTTGCATCAAATGTGAAAACATTTGATGCAAAATGCAATGCAAAACCACTCTTTGTTTAAGGACTCCTGCTGGGACAACTCGGATTGCCGTGGAGCCGGCGCTTTTTATTGTGACGCCAAGACTAGACGCTGCCTACAAATCGTAGGCTTAAGGTCGGATACCACTAGAGTTGATCGTTTAAGGAGATCCTCGAGCCGGGTTATTATTGCGTTGTGGAACCAAGGCGACGATGCGTGGGCGGTTATTATTGCTGTGACGCGACGCATACGTGCCTGAGGGAAGGCGAAAAATGTGCATAAAGTTTTCATCATTTATTCGTCCAGACGTTCAAATATATGTATTAACCGCACCCCACATCCAAATTTACAAGATTTTGCTCCACTAGCAATTGCTGCACCTTATACTTTCAGCAAGGCTTCTTTCTACTCAGTGGTAATGTTAAACACTTATACTTATACTTATACTGCTGATCCTTGCTGTCCCTGTGAACGATGTCACGACTAAAATGTGCGGAGCTCTACAAGTGTGAGCAAAAGAGGGTGCGTTTCTTCAAAAATTATAATAAGCAGCAAATTTGCGATTTCACCATCAAAATAGGATTACCTGTCAATTCTGATAGCAACGTTATCATCGTAATTAAGCGAGCAAAAGAAAAAATAAAAACGTTTTTGGCAAGAATTCTTCGTGACGGTAATAATCCCTTTTCAATATCACAACTTCACTGCGCGAATATTTCAAATTGTTTAAGATTTTTTTAGGTGCAATGCTTCGCCCTGCCCTGCCCCCTACAGGCTTCATGCGTCCCTAGGTTTACCGGGACCGTTGGCGAGATTCTGGGTATTTAAGAAAAAAACATTTTTGTATCTAGCATCTATTTTTAAGGCTCGCTCCCGCCAAACGTCTGGGGTCTGGGCCGCTAAAAAACGGAGCAACGAAAGCCAATTTTTTTCTTTGTATATATTTTTTTGTCTATTGCTGAAATAAAGGCTGATTTTTCAGATGCTTTAAAATACGAAGTACCTTTCAAAAAAGTCAAAATTGCTCGTTTTGAAAAAGAATACATGAAATAAACGCAGATGAGCTAAACTTTTCTGTGTTGTTCAATAAATACACCTTGTTAAACTTTCATATATCGCAAATTTATTCCCGTCAACGAAATGAGCCTTTAAAAAGAGTGAATGAAACAAAAGTTGATCCTAGGTTCAACCAGGGGATGTTGGTCGATGGTTACGATCGATGTACTTTCCGTAAAAATATTCTGCCATCAGACACCAAAGGCAAACAAATCCCATGATGCAGACGGCGAGGAATAGTAAACCCATGCCCATTAAAAATAGTAGGAACAATTCAAAACTCGAGAAACTGTGTTTTGTTGTGCGTGGTACTTCCGGTCTCACATTTTCAGCTTCTAACGGTGTCTCGGGAACCTGCTTCGCGGCTCCGTCGTTGATTTTCTAAGAAAAATATGTGATATACAACAAAAAAGGTGCTCCGGTTGTCTCAATGTCGAAAACAAAGCGTACCTCAATTTGATACGAATTTCGGTTCCAATCCTTGTCGACCAAATGCTCAGTGAAAACGGCCGTGACGGTCCTGAAAGAGACAAACTTAAGATTTGGCCTTAGAACTATGACAAAAACAGGCATTTATCGAATAGGTCAACGTTTGAAACTCACATAAACATTCAAAACGGAACTCACTTTATCATCGTGTAATTGTCGAGGTCGACTTCAAGAAATCGCGGGGCTGTGAAAACAAAATATCGCGGCTTCTCAGCCGTTTGCCAGGTGACGAGCTCCGGCCGTAGGTCATTTGGCGGCCCTGCTGTGCTGTTTTCGTGGAGTTTCTATAAAGAATTGTTGGATCAAAAGAAATAAAAGAAGAAGGATCGGAATGGATTTGGGTTTTCAGATATTCCGGTTAAAGCTTTGTCAAATTTGGTCCCAAAACGCGCCATACAGCAAGGTGTCTCGCAAATCGGCGCTCGGCGCAACGCCTTCTTTTTTAAAGACTCTTGGAGAGATGGCCAAGCGTCCCCAGGGGGACGGAGGGCCCCTACGGGGGGCTACTATCGACGTAATTCATTTTGCGAATTCGTAATTTTTATGCAAAGCGTAATCTCGGCGCATGCCATGGAAAGAAAAAAAAATAAACGGTCGGCGCGCAATCCTAAAGTATTTTAGAGCTTGCGCCGCGCCGAGCCGGTTGGCATCGTGGTGTAGTGGTTAGCGTCTTGGGCTGGGGTGGAGCATCCCTGGTTTGACCCCCGCCTGGTGCGAAATTGTTTGCTTTTTCACCAATTGCCTCTTTCCAGGGGCCTTCAACAGTAAAGTGTTTTTACTCAGCCTCGAACTCTGAAATAAAACCTAGTCTATCTTGCGCATAATTTTCCGCTGATTCCGAATCCGTTTTCAAATGTTGCCGAATGGCAATTTTTGAAAAGTTACAACGTAATTTAGCGTTCTGCATTATAAAGATACCGTAACTTCAATGTCCCATAAAAATTGGCAGAAAAATGACCCGGAAGCAGGGTTGGTATAGAAGCAGGGTTGGTATCCGGTCCGCGGACGGTCCAGGGCCCGGTCCGGATCAGTCCGAGAGGATCCGAGAATTTCGGACCAGGCCCGAACACATCCACAGGTTTAATTCTCAAAACGACGTGCGGTAATAATTCTAATTTTCAAATTACACTGACCTGAATATTGGTTTCCGTCGGCTTCCATTCGGTCGTGAAATAATGGAACGTGTGCCGATTGCGCCAGGTTTCACTGAAAATCCGGAATTTCTCATGGAAATCTTGCGAATTTTATTGACTCAATGGAAGGCTTAAAACTCGCTAGAAAATTTGGCTCCTGTCCTGGTCTATTTTTGAGTATTGGTCGCCAAAAATAATGTAGAATTGGCGGGGTTCGCCGAAGACTTCAACAAGGTCGTAGGAAGCCACCGTGACCGCCGCCAGGACGGCCAATATTAAGCCGATACGCATTTTTCAGGGGTTCGGGGATTGGGAAGTTGTCGTCAGGCATGAGGATAGCCATCTTTATATAGTTGATTCTCAGCCGCCTCAGGGCATATTTATTGAATTTCGCTGATAAAATGGGGGTCAACAGGTTGCGTTGAACTCGATCTGCATTAATAGCAGTAAAATCAAGGTGTGTAATTTGCGACATCTGTCAATTTAGGGTTTTAGGCTGTATTGCTGTCTGTATTTTTAGGCCGTTTCCCACACCAAAATATACAGATTCAGTATAGCTATAGCGACCGTAGAGGTGATTGCTGACCCCGTGATTTTTCGCTGCCCCACACCCAAAATACCGACGAGACAGACGGCAAAAATGATCAGCCACGGTTTTCAGGCAATTTTGGGGAATAATTCAGAGCAAGAACGACGCGAATGGAACCTATAAACACAAGGGTGGTTTTCGCAAAATCATTGGCATACCGAAACAATAATAAACAATAAGCAACAGTTCGATATGCCGTCTGGTCTGGTGGGTTAGGCATTTTTCTCGAAAACGTTAGAACTTCTAGATTTTGTTTTTGCTAGACGCTCCAATTTATGCCGTTCCCGCTAATGGTATATTTTGTCGAAATTCGCCTACAAATTGCAAAAATACGTCATTGATTTAAGGCATTTGGGTGGACACAGTGTTTGCCTGTATTTCACTACGCGCTCACAGAATAAGTTTGAATTAAACTAAATTAAATGGAAAAATTGAGGCTTTTCCTCAGGGCCTTGTGGACCACTAGGCTCGCCAGGGCCGGGTCCCTTTGGCCCTACTGGCCATCCTGACCCTCCTGGCCGACGCAACCTCCTTCCGCCTCCACCGCCAACTTGTGCAAAGGTCTGCGTCAGCCCTGGACTTTTTGGAGAATGAACGTGGCGGTAAGTTGTTCGGTGTGGCGATCGCCATCTCAAACATTTCAAGAACCCGAAATATAGCTAAAACGCCTTATTCTATTTTTTCAGTTCCGCGTCTCCTGCTGCTTCCGTTCATCATCTACTTGTACCATAAGAACGCCACGGCGATCAAGCATTGCCCGGAATTCTATTGATTTGCGCGATAGTCAAGGAAGCGGTTACCAGTTTTTCATATTTTTTTGTTTCTTTTGAATTTCGAGGGTTACTCATAAATTATTATGTTTGTTGCATATGTTCCTAAAAGACAGTAACAACGCATTGAGTCGGAAAATGCAAAAAAACCGATACCTAGCAACACAGCCTAGTCAACGTCAAAAATTAGTCACCTACGTGCCAACGCTCTTTGCATCCCAAAAATAACCCTGATCTGCACGCCCACGCTACAATAATGACCTCCCGAGAACCGGGGTGCAAAATAGAGCCGAAGTGTGTGGGCAGCGGCGTCGAAAAACGGCTTTTGGAGCACCACAAAAATCCGATTTTAACGAGTCTTTGACCCTTTTTATTGTCGAGTTCGAGGGCCGAAAGTTCACTCCAGTCCGTTTGCACGGGATGCCGAGGTACGCGTTGGTTTCGCTGTTTTTGGCTACGGTACTCGGGGCGCCGACTTGCCCAAGTGGGAGCATGGCGCTGACCGGGCAGAACTATTGCGTGCAGTTCGTTGCTAAAAGTAAGTAGCTTTTAATTTAAGCGAATGAGTCGTCTTTTTAAATTGTCAGGTAGGTTTTTAAACGAACATACGTATTCTGAAGGCGGAAATACGATAAATACAGTCATTTTACTCTTGAAATAGTTATAAAGTACATTTTGATGCTTTTAAAATATAGCGAATAAGGCAAATAGTTTGACAACAATTATTAATCTTTAGATATGACCTGGGTGGACGCGCAGAAAAACTGCAAATCATTGAAGGGACAACTAATTCAGCTTGCCAGTCCTGCGAGTGCTCAAGCTCTGCGCAAGGTCTTTCCAGGTAAGTTGAAACCAGCCTATTTTTATTGGAAAACTTAAAAAAGTAATTTAAATCCGTTGTTTAATTCCGTTAACTTGAAAAGTCTCATTTTCCAACCTGAGAATGAATCGATCGAATGAATCGATTTTTCGCTTCAAATGCGTTTCATCGTTTTTGGACTTTAAAAATCGATACAATACAACCAAGTTAAAAGGTTCTACGATAGATATTTATCTTTCGGGCCCCTTTAAAATTTAAACCAGTTAATGCCATTTTTAGGAAGCAACCCGGCTTGGGTGGGCATTGTGGGTCTACCTAGCGGTGCGCTGCAATGGACAAACGGGACGGAGTGCACCTTTGTACACCTGTGTACGATATTAAGCTTAAGATATCGCATCTATTAAGTTTTAGCCCCCGATTTGGCACTTGGAAATGGGAAGGCGTCGCTGGATCCCCTCCACGAAGCCGTCACAAAATGCGCATCAAAATTGAAGCCGCCGAAGACGCAGGCTTTTGACTGCGCGTAAGCGATCAATTTGCAATTACTATTCGCGTTTTATTGCCCAACCCACTAACTTTCTTTAACTCCGATATTTTATGCATTAAAGGTTATATTTCAGCTACGGACTCGCGCTCTACAAATGCTTCTTGACGCCCCTGAAAAAGCAAACGCCGACCCCCAAGCCGGATCAATTAGCATTCACGCAACTGATGAGAATGAACGTAAGTTACCTGCCACAACTTTTGCAGTGATTTGCTATCATAATGCTGCTTTCCACAATACTGCCTTTCAATATATCGCTTTTCATAATGCCGCTTTTTCAGAATGCTTTTTCAAAATGCAGCCTTTTTGTCATGCCGCTTATTCAGAATGCCGCTTTTTTAGAATGCCGCCCTATCAGAATACCGCTTTTTACCGGGATAGGAGTTATCATAATTGCAATTTTGTTAAAGCGCACGTTCAGGGAGGGGCCGTGTACTCGTCCCAACGTGTACACCCTATGGACGTAGGGACCGCGCGCACTGCCTGCCCGTGTCGTGGCAAGCAATTCCCCTCCTTTGCGTCGTGGGGCGCCCCTCACCCCCTCGTCGGGTTGTAGCTATGGCTGACTGGTATCATCCGCGCCTTCCGAGCCCTGGGCCGGGGGGCCGGGTTCGACCCCCGGCCGCGGCAGAAATCTTTGCTTTTTTCAAAAAACGTCCCTGAACGTGCCCTTTAACAGCGATTTTTTGTAGACAGGGAATGGTTTGTAATTATACCCAAGAACCATAACATACAAACATTAACCACGTTCTGAGGTTCTTAGCTCTCGACCGAATTTTTTGTGCGCAAATGGCAAACACTTTGGATAGTTAATGAATCGGGCAGACGAGGCCCATAAATATCATTTTTTTCCCGGCCTTTGCCGTTAACCGAAAAAACAGCATTTTGATAGAGCAGCATTGTGAAAAAGCGGCATTTTGAAGAAGCGGTATTACGAAAAGGGCATTACGAAAAAGCGGCATTTTGAAAACGTGTCATTCTAAAAAACCGGCATTATGAAAAGCGGTATTCTGAGGAGCGGTATTCTGAAAAGCGGTATACTGGAAATAATCGCTTTTTTAGTATATTTGCCTAACAAAGCTTCATTCGATTATTCTAACGTGTTAGTAAACCTCTTGATTTAGGCGTACGCCTATCCAGAAATCGGGAAAGACAAGGCCTGTCTGGCCAAGTGGAAGAAGGCCTTCTTCCCCAAAGCCGCGCCAAAATGTACGTTTTTCCTTCATCGTGTTCTGATCCTTTATGATGCTGTGCAGATAATAGTCTAGGTACCTTTAACTGTAGCTATAATTTTTCAGTCAACAAGGACAAGCCGTACGCAGCAACGGCGATGGATATGATGCACGGTTCCGAGTCGCAATACTCCGACTTGTACATGGCCGCCGCGACCAAGACTTACCCGTCGATTTGCCAGATAGATATGAAATAAACGCCGGGATCTATTTACTTTATTTTAATTTATTCAAGCTTTTCCTTAATGCGCAGCCCCTGTTTTACACCCTTTAGGCATGGGGCGCTGCGCGTGCGGTGGCGTTGCGTGTCACTCTCTCTACAGAGTGTCTGTTAGTGCCCCTGTGGAACTTGGATTGCGCGTTAACTCGGCTTCAAATATATTTTTATTGGCAAAATTCTAACACCAAAATACACACAAAAGTCACGGAAATCACACAAGAATCACATCACGTTTTTGAACCCATCAGTAGGAGGCAGTAGGAAGAGGTTTTTGGGAAGCGGCTTATCCATAGTTGGCTTGCCAGGCTTGCCAGGCTGAAAAATGAAAATAATGGGCATAAAGCTTAATCGCACTGCAGGTAGATTCTATCATATGTTTATATACAATGCTTACCTTCGACGACATATCGCTTGAACAGGCCGTCGACGGCGCCGAACTGGTAGCCGACGTTGAGGTGCTAAAATTAGGATTTTAGCTCTGTCCCAGCTACCGTACCTCATATGCCTCTTCGCCGAGGAACTGCTGCAAATAGGGGTACACTGTGGCGTTGGGATATGTGTAGGCGTAGGTGAACGTCTCGCGGTTGAGTTGGACTGTGGTGGGGAAGGGGATTTGGCGGCCAATTCTAAAAAGATGAAGATGATCATACCTCAGGTTAACCAATTGCGGGCAGCTATAGGAGAGAGAGAGTGAGAGAGAGAGAGAGAGAGAGAGAGAGTGAACGATACTTACGTCGGAGATACGGCAATATCCACCACAAACGTCAACCGGTTCGCGTCGTAGCCGAAGGTATCGTTGTGGAAGAAATATTCGACAGCTCTGAACGAACATTTTAGAAGTTTTCAGGCCATCATTATGCTATTAAGGAAGAAAAATACAGTTAATAGTCCGACTTCTGCTACCATATCTTTCAGATTTACGCTTCGGCAGCTGATTTTCTATTTTTCATACCTCGCGAGATCACTGTCCACGTAGCGAGAATAATAAGACATCGTCTTCACGGCGTTCAGCAGATCGGCTTGAGTGTGGAAGGCGTTGAGATCCCAGGAATAGCTAGCCATCACCTCCTAAATGACGCCGGTAATACCGTATGCAAGTGATTTCCTTACAGTATAGCCGTAAGCAACGACGGCCAATCGACTCGTGGTGCCGAGGGTCGTGACTTGGTTCTGAATGAGGTCGACCAGGTAGTTTTGGACCTAAAATACTACATAGCCTCTTTGAGGGTCAACTCATGCCTGGGCAAATCCGGCTGTGCCGAGAGTGTTGTAATAATCGATCAAGAAAATGAAATCGGCTTGGACGTCATCGATATGAGGGAGGACGGGGTAGACCAGGTCTTCGTACCCTGAAAAGGAGCGGCGTTTGAGAGAGCGTGTGAGGTCGAGACAGAGCGTGAGAGAGAGGGATAGAGAAAGCTAGGGCTGCGGCGCTATTCCTTACATTTGGTCATATCGTGCGAGATAACCCTGTCCGGCAAGCTGCCGTCAACCAAGGAAAGCGGATCCGCAACGACCTAAAATGGATGCTATTTGGGTAAAAACTCTCTGCTAGCTTGCGGCCGCTTCATGAATTTTTTTGTATCATAATAACGTCAAGTAGTCAACAATTAAAAGACAAAAGTTTTTTACTACCTACCGGGTACAGATTCTGAGATTTTCCGGTCAGGAATTGCTGCACAAAGTCTTTTCGCTGGCCAGTGAGGCCGACGGCCGCGACTCTGGCCTTTCGGCCAATTTTCAGGGCGTCGGCGATGGAAGCCGTGGTGTTGTAGTAACTGGAAATTCAAATTATACCTTAAATTATAGTTTTAATCTAGGTCTAACGGTGCATTTTGCACAAAGAACTTACTATTGAGCGCCAGTGAAGATAACAACATAGGTTGGCCCGTTTCGCCATCCCTTCTCGGGCTGCAGGAAGAAGTCGTTGATTTGGCTGAGGGTACTGCAAGGGATTCAAAATTAGGTATTAATGATAGTAAGTACTGCGTATGCTATTCCAATACGTTTTCGTACTACTTACGTAACGAGATCCGAGCTGGCAGAGGCAGACGACGAGATATATCTCAAGTTCTTGATCATATTCACGACAGTGTCAGTGTCATTGTTGTCCATGAAGTGGAATCCTCCCTCGACGACCTGGATTTTGAGCATTACGGTATTTGTATATTTTTCCATACCTGCCGAGCGCTGAAGGACTGAAGAGCGAATCGAGTACCTGTTCTGGAGATGTGGAACTTGCTGACAAAACCGGCAATGTAGGATTTGATCTGAAAAAATTGAATAGGTTAGGGAGACCAAGAAAGAGTGAGAGAGAGAGATCGACGAGTTAGAGAGAGTGAGAGAGACGGCAAGCAACAACAGGTTACTTACCGCCTCGAAAGCTGCTGAATTTGCCAGCGCGGTCTGATCAACTGCAAAAGCCACATCAATCTGCACTTCGGCGAGTTGCATCTCGTGAGAAGCCCGGTAGTTTTCTTGGACTAAAATAGCCAGCGGATGAACACAAAATCGGAATAAAACATGATCCTCAAGACCTACAGATAGCCATCGTGTCGAACCAGCGGCTCATGTTGTTCAGCCCGAATCCAGACGGCACCCAGTTGTTCAGCTCCTTCGGGCTGGACATGCGGAAGACTTGGCGGCCGTCAGTGGCCAGTTGCTGTGAATAGTTGGCGGCGGGATTGGTAAGCAAAACATAGTTGGCGACGTTGGATTTGCCTTGCAGTTGGGCGGCTTTTTCGGCTCCAGTGACACTGGAATTCAAAGAGTTGAAATATGGACAAACTCATTCAAAAACTAAGTAGCGAGGAAATGAACGGATAAAGCTCATTAAGGCTCGACAGCTACGCGACACTGCAAAATACGTACGTAAGATGAGGAACAACTTATCAAAATGGAAGTTTAAAAAAATAAGTTTTTATGAGCGCTTGCACGCGTGATCTGGCGCGTTGCGTAGCTTTAATAGATTCAAGGCTACATACACGTGCTAACAAAGCTAGATAGCCCATCAGTGCCTCAATTTTCCCCAAAATTAAGTAATTTTTGCGCGTGTCGAAGCGTAATTTGGTGTGAAGCGTAACTGTCGGGTCCTAGTGGACCTTAGGGGTCGATTCCTTGGTTTCCGAGTCTCCTTAT